ATACTAGGATGAAAAGGCCATTCAATGCTTCCAGGCGAAATTCATTCACTGATTTTGCTAAATACCATTTTGGCATTATAGTTGATGCTAGTTCGTAATGAAAACATTAAATCTTATTCCTAATCCTAACGTTCATTTGTAAATCTTAATCCTGAGTCCACACACTAACTTATAACCTTCAATTAACCATAGTGAGATGGATGTTTCAATGTCATTTCCGCATTACCCAAAGATCATCCATAAATTATAGTCTCACTGACTTGACAGTGATTCTAATGACACAATCATGTTACTTACAGAAGATTCAATCAAGTCATATGGGGTAATAGTATAATGTTGATATAAACATGACTGAATCAGGACTAAAGACAGAAAAAAAAGAAGTGAACTTTGAAGGATGTATTATACTTTGAGATTAGAATAGGAATGTACGATAAGCAGTATACAGTTCATTTGCTACAAGTTTGGTAACTGTTTTACAGTACATTATCCTAGAATTTGTTTCATTCACTTTTTAATGTACGTAAAGTGATCAGATACTTAGTCACCTTGTCTTAACAATATTTATTATTCTAATTAACGTAAATTAGGTTCCTGAAATAATTTTTCATCTTTTAAGTATGTTATTATTATTATGTAATTAGCAACCATCTTACAGATATTCGACGTTTCTGTTTCAATTGTTCACTGAGATCTTGAAACGACGTACTTAATCCTGATCGGTTCATCTTTATGCTTTAGCTTAATCAATTTGTATGGTGTTGAAAATTGATAAATTGAAATTGAAGATCATCTTTGTTGAAATTCAAATCTTCATTAGTTCCACTTTTTTGTCTAGTTGTTAAAGCGAAATCTTGGATAGCGTCCAGTGAGTACATGAAAACCTTCAAGTGTTAAATGCTTTCCAAAAATTCAGTCTGTGATTAAAACCAGATTTATGTAACCAACATAATTTAATACACAAATGCTATTCTAAGTAAAAGGGATACATATATCAGAAGGGGGTTTCGTGAAGAATTTAGTAATTTAAATTGTTGAGATCATGAGTCAATTGAGACAATAATACCGTTGGGTGCCGGCTCAGTGGTCTAGTGGTTAAGTGCATGCGCGCGAGACCAGTAGGTCCTGGGTTTGAGCCCCGCGAGGCGGGATCGTGGATGAACACTGCTGAGGAGTCTCACAATAAGACTAAATGGCCAACCAGTGCTCCCAGATTTTCCATAGTGATCTAGCTTCAATTGACTCATGATCTCAACAATTCAAAGGATACATATATATGTAGATATATTAACTAAATCTTTGATATTTGGCACGGAGTCTTTGTAGTTTGTTAACTAAGTTTGGTTGAAAATAGGCATTTAGAGTATTCTAAAATTAAATCGTTAAATGTTAGTTATTTAATGTTGAGGGGATGGACGAAATCAATAGAAAACTTCAGAACTAAGGTTTTATATTAGTTGATAATTGTCTAAAAGACATAACTACAATCGTGAAAGATTTATTGCTACTTGTGGGATTCGAACACAGGTCATTCAGCTTCACATTCTAAGACATTACTGTTGGGACGGCTTCCAATAACTACGATGGAGCCTCTAGAAGCCCTAAAGAAACCGAAGGGTTTCCATCCAATCAGAACACGATGGAACTATCTAGAATACCAATGTGGCATGCTACTATTGGGCAGTAGCATGATTTTCAGTACACCACCAATCTAATAAGACTACGACTAATACATTGAAGAATTGGGATACTTATCATTGATTGGTCATTCAGTGGTAACTAATGTTACCTAGGAGAATACAAACTATTTATTCAACTCACAATATTTCCGTTTATCTATCAAAATTATGAAAGAACAAGGTATAACTGTTACAACATTCATGGATGTCACGTCATATACAAACATCTTAAAATACCTTATTTACAACTTATGTTAGTTAACTAAAACGTTATGAATTTTTTGATATTAAAAACAGGGTCAGGGTTATAGTGCCACATTTGGTATATCTTAAATTGGCTTTGTAAGAAAGAATGAAGATTAACTTAGCGATCTATTCTGCAACATGTGGTCGATAAAGAATAAACGACCTCAAATCCGTCTATTTACATCATTGATATTTGGAGACACCCAAAACCTTCTTCGAGAAAAGCTCAAAGAAGCCCTGGAAACAGTGGGAAACACTTTATTCAATCGGCATTGAATAGAAGTTTCGCAGAAACATTTACAAAGTCAAGAGTCATGTGTCATACATCTGAATAGATGATTACTACCCTGCTACTATGTTTAATAGTATTCCAGAGCTTTCCTGAAACCCTAGTCTATGTGAAATGCTATAAATACCCTAAAATTTCTTTTCATTAACTAACCTTGCAGTCAGGCGTTTTTTCCATATTTCTCGCCATTTCTCTTATGTTGAAGCTGTCTTGTAGATATGGCCTGAGGTTACTAGAAGTGTTTGGGAAACTAATTCAAGCGTTCAATGAAATTTATCAATTTGCATTATCGAATTAGAGGTTCTGAAAGGTATTCATCCACATGTTCCAAACTTCAGCCAAACAGAATTACAAGCTTTTGTCATTCACACCAAAGACTGTATATTAAATCCATTGTCATTACCATGATCGTAAATTTAACACACTTCGTTCTTACGTATTTTTTAAGATAAAACTTTTCTGTCTGGTCATTATCTTACTAATTTACTAGTTTAAATGCGCGATCATGATTCATAATTAGATGGAGGTTTGTTCACTAAGGAGATGGTTAGTTTGATCATGAAGCTTTGATTGTTCTGACTATAATCGATCAGCGTAATCTTCAAGTAGAATTTGCCTATTCGGAACATTCCCTATGTGACTGACAACTGGTATTATTAACCTGGGTCTTGATTGTTCATTGCTGACGTTTATTCTGTCAATGTCTGTATATTTATTTTGATTGCCTGTACTTTTGACCTGATTCCATATATTTTTTCATGATTTTTCCAGTTGATTGATAAATTGAGCTGATTTCATGGATTGGTTGAGGTTAGATATTAACACCAGTGGGTGCTGGTTCAATGGTCTACAGGTCCTGGGTTTAAATCCCGCGAGCGGGATCGTAAATGTGCACTGTTGAGGAGTCACACCCAGTGCTTCCAGGTTTTCAATGATGGTCTAACACCAATCGATTCATGATCTTAATTAAAAACCTAATATTCTCGACAACTTCATACTGAGGATTTGTATGTGTTTACTGTTCGCTGAGTGGGTTGAGTATCAAGTTTATAAGGTTTCTTTAGTTTTCTAGCTGAAATCTCAGCATTTTCTCAGTTAGTTCTGTATTCACGATTGTTCATACGGATTGATACAATCCATGTAATGTAATCAGTAGTCTGTGGTTTACGGTTTTCAGTGTCCAAGCTTTAATAGTGTTAACAATAGAGTATAGATTCACAACAACCAAGTACACATTAGATATTACGAACTACAACCCGCTTTCCTTGCATTAATTGTTACTTAAGAATAAAATCCAGTTTCATACATTGAGAAAAGGGTTGGAGAAGTTTATTTGTATCATGAAACAGTTTTCAGTAGTTTTGTATAATAGGTTTTATTTACGGCAATTTCATTGACATGACCTTATGACTAGAAACTTGGTAAATCATCTCGAATTTAGTTGCTAACGCCTATAATTCGACCATATCATCAATATTACCCCTTTTTCTGTCATGGTTTTATCATGAATTTGATGGACTGATCAATGGCAGTCATAAACATCATTTGGAAGAGTCAAGTAAACAATACCATGCGAAATCAAAACTTCACCTCGTCACACAAGCAGGTGTGCGATTACGATTCAATAGCTAAATGGATAACGTGATAGCGTTTGAAGCAAGTGGTGCTGGGTTTGAGTCCCGGTGTGAACATCAACTCTGAGATCCAGGTACATATAACTGACGAGTCCCTGATAGGACGAAACACATGTCCTAGATCTCACTGCTAGTCACTAGCCATCTTTGCTTAAAAAAAGCTCTTGACTTCAGGCAATATTGACGCAGTCCGCATGGGATGCACATATGCCAACAAGAGACTGAACAATTGCAGTATTAAATAACAATGGGAAGATCCAAGTAAAACAACACCAGGTGAATTTAAGAATTCGGAAATGTTCTCTGAAAATGTTCAGTTCTTTTTTATGACATATTCATAATCGTTTGCTATTAGAAGAGACAGTTATAAACTGCACTCTTTCTATAATGAAGGTTTATAAACAATTGACTAGAGGTGAAGAATCCCTGATTGGATGATCTTTCATTGCTAAAAAGGTATTGAAATGAAGACATTTGTAGAATATGAAGTTTGACATAAGCGAATGTCAATTATCGATACCACCTGTGCATTGATGTTCTGGTTTCTTTCTTCATTTCAACTGCTCTCACGATAGATTAATATGAATTGGAGAAGTTGTCAACATACGAGAAACAATGAACAGATATTAAATCAAAAAGTATCCACTAATGAAACTATATTAGATTTGAATAGAAGACTATATGTATTATAACGCTCAGTTTTCCTTATCTACACTAATGGAACGCTAATTTGCTCTAGACAAATGTCTACACTAGATACCCTCTGGGTGTTCATTTAACAAGACTTCAACACAACTTACATCAAGAACACGTGACTAGCTTAACTAGGGCGTAAGGATATTTCCACACTAAAAACCGACAATAATAATAATAATAATAATAATAATAATAATAATAAGGGTAGGAGAATATATAATTTAACTAACGCCTATCAGACTATCCACAAGTCTGACTTAGCAAACAACCAATCACCTTCACATATCACTATTTTAACTTGGATTTTCACCGCCTTTGATAATATTCAATTAGTCTTATTGTGAATTTGGAGATTTAAATCAGTTTCCAAGAATGTTAGTAGTCAATTACGTAACAAACGTATTTCTTATTGTGTTAATATTCAATAAGTAATTAAGATTTATCTTTATTCAATAGATTCATCAAAACCCAATCGATTGAATTTAATGCGACAAACATCTGATCCACTAAGTCATCCAGTAATACGTGGTCGTAGTCCACAAAGTTCCAGTCAATGGATAAATATACAAGATGCTTCACATAATACAAATCAAATACCTTTATATCAACAGGCATTACTTAGTCCTCGAGTAAAAGTTCCACAAAATAATAATTTATTAACTAAAGGTTTAATTCAATCAGATTATACTACAAATATGTATTCTGATACATCACAGTATCAACAACAATCTCAACAACAAACTCAACTTACTCCTAATCAATCATCAAGTGGGCAAATTTCAATGAATCGATCAAATTTGGCACAATTACAAAGTTTATATCAACAATTACTTCAACAGCATCAACAACTTTTACAACAACAACAACGTCAACAACTTCATCCACAACAACAGCAGCAGCAACAACAACAACAACAACAACAACCTTTGGACTATGCAGCTGGTAATAAAGATTACGTAGTTTTATAATCTCATGATTAATGTATTTTTGTGTTTATTAGTGATATGAAGGGTGTGTGTGTGTGTGTAAAGACTATTGGCACAGTTTATGGATTCCATCACAAATTGATATAAGACAAGTATTAGATTAATTTATGGTTTGTTACTTTTTATAGGGCAGAGGACACCAACCAGCATTCTCTTCAGACTATTCTGTCCTCAACTTTCCTTTCTATTTGTTGCTATTCATTCTTTTTTGGTGTTTGTCTTTGATTGCTTGCAAAATGTTTCCTTTCATATATATATACTCTTTTTGCCTTGATGCTTCTGAGTTTGGGCTTGCCTCATGATTCAGTTTGATGATTTATACCATATTTTTTCTATCCACATGCAGCGTCTTCTCCTAATTTCTTCCTCAGCTGGAAGCTGATTTGTTCCCTTCCACGGTAGATTGTCCCAGATGGTATCCGGCCAATGGACACTGAGTGTCTTGTTTAGGCAACTGTTTATAAATACTTGTACCTTTTTGATGATATATTTGATAGTCCTCCAAGTCTCAGCATCGTACAACAGAACTGTCTTGATGTGTGTATTGAAAATTACGACTTTAATGACAATTGTTTTGAGTTCCAGATGTTCTTCAATTGAAGGAGAGCTATTATTGGTTTGCCTATCCGTTCCTTTACATCCTCATCAGATTCCCCCTGTTTATTAATGATGTTGCTCAGGTATATAAAGCTTCCACCTCTTTCAGAATTTCTTTACCAAGTTTGTTATGGTTTGTGCTCGCTGAGTTGTATTTCTGGATTTTGCTTTCTACCTTGTTAAAGTTGAGACATACTACTGCACGATCCCGTGCCACTCTGTATGGCTTCATTTGAATTTATTGCTGTGTGTAGGTCAGAAAGTACAGGTCATTTACATAGTCCAAATCGTCTTGTTTCATCCATGCTGTTCAGTATATTCTGTGCATCATCTAAGATGTGGAGGTTTTCATTATCCAATCAATCATAAAGAATAAAGAGAAAAGGAGACAGTAGGTAATTCTATTTGATATCGGTTATACTTGGAACACATCTGTGAGGTGGGTAACTATTAAAAACTAGAAAATATCAGGTAGCTGTTTCAGGCTTGGACAGTTTAAGATTATCCGTTTGTAGAGCATATTTTCAAATATGACTAAACACTGCTAAGAATTTCCATATAGGGAAAGAACAGCTATCAATTGCTTTTCTACAGTTTTCTGAATAAGGTTAGCCCAGTGAGTAAATCTCTGTGTTTAATTAAGAGAATGTTAAGAGTTGATCTCTTATATGTAATTTAACGATAATTTTTTAAGCAAGAACTGATACCATGGAAAAACTAGAGGTCAATACATATCTGTGTACATCACGTTTACGGACTCCTCAACAGCACAAACAATTCGACCTTGATTAGAGGACATCCTGACAGTATATCTGCGTAAGTTGTCATGACATTGTCAACAATAGGATGATATTGAATCAATTTGGCAGGGAGATATTCGTAACATGTAACCTGACACTAAAGTGTTCATTTTCGAAGTTAGTTAGTTGAAGGTCATCGCCAAGAAACTCTTCACTAGTCTTCTCTCATCAGCAAGGTTCATCAACAATCTTAAAGAAACTGATGGTTGTAGCTGGATGAAACACTCTTTTTCCACGTTTATATTCTGAAGCATTAACATTATCATTCAAACTACAAGCGATCTTCTGTAAGATTGAAATCTTTACATCAATCGATTGATGAGTAGTGAACAATGTCATGTTTGTCTGGCTTTTTTATACTAGTCAAATTCTATCGATGAATTTTCACTGTGACTATCAGTCTAAGTGAGTCAATATCGCGTGTGCCAAATTTAGACATCTGATGATTGGATTTAGTGGAGAGGAAACCCTGAATCAAGGTTTATTACTAGTTCAGCAATCGGTTGGTAACTATGCTTGAATGAATTAGTTGTGAACGTCTTATTGAAATTCATTACCTTTCACGTTCACTTATGATTTATTCTGTAAGCTGGCTGTAATTCCGGTCATTATTGAGACGAACTGACTTATTGTATTGATAAGAAATGAATGTTAATTGACTTATAGAATATATATGATGATAAAACTATTTGTTTCCTCCATTTGAGATCTAAAATATGAAATGATTATTTACTTACTTACTTACGCCTGTTATCCCAATGAAGCATAGGCCGCTCACGAGCATTCTCCATCCAACCCTGAACTGGGCAATCCTTTCTAGTTGTTATTCATCTTTTTCATATCCACTTCTATTTCCCGACGTAATGTGTTCTTTGGCCTTCCTCTTTCCCTCTTCCCTTCAGGATTCCAAGTTAGGGCTTACCTCAAATGATTATTTAGTTACAGTAATAAGTATCATGCTGTTTAAATGTTAATCTTAGGTGAATTCAATCAATCAAATCTATAATTCATTTCTGTATTGTGTGTGCAAATCTTCCCATTGATGTTTAGAACTGCAGTAGATTAATCTCTTGTTAAGATATGCACATCTTGTGAAGATTGCTTTCAGCAACAAGCATCAACTTTGGGATGCAGGCGGATCCAGCTAACGACTCTCGAATAGGACGAAATGCGCATCCTGTAATCCATTGCTATCCATCATCATCTGTGCTTACAAATCTAATCTTATTCGTTTATTATATCATGTTGATTTGTTTCATGGTAATTAGTTGAAAGCAATTGATAGGAAACTCTTGATGTTAGTTTCATATTAGTTCTAAGTCATTAGAACATGTGTACCCAAAACACTCAGAGGCATTAATCATCATCACTAATCATGGTGGTGAACAGTATCGACTAACAGAGAGGCTAATTCCAGGAACTCATCTTAATTAATACCCATCAAGTGAGATGATATATTTATTTCTTAGGATGTATATTTACCTATTTGTCTATAGTATACAAACATGTATTTTTCACATTTAAGGTCAACCAATAGACAGTAGTCTTTATGCAACTGTTCAACGTCCATCAACTAATATTCCTAGTTCATTGGTTGCAAGTTTACAACGTGTAATATTACAGCAGCAGCAGCAGCAACAACAACAACAACAACAACAAACTGCAATGCAACAACAATTACAGATTCCTCAGACACAACCGTCAATCATCCCCAGTGTGAGTATGTATGCACAGGTAGGTTGTTTAATCAATATCGGTATCTAAGTGGATTTTCTCTCATACATTGATTAATTTAAAGATAATATGAATCCATTTCATTCGCACTAGGTTCTCATCAGCTTCTTATAATTTAGATAATATTACGTCACTAACGTTACCATGGAAATTAACATACGAATGTGTACATCATGATGTAGCAAAGATTCTATGAAAGTCAGTAAGATCGTAGAATGTTTCTTTTAGATAAACAAAATGTACGAGAGAAATTTCCAGAACATTGAAATCAAAGAGTTTAGTTACATCATGAACTAACAGCAAATTTATATTTCTTAAGAAAATCAAACGACGATTTGACCAATAGCATGATCTCTTCGGAACCTCTTATTTATCACTTGATCTATCACTAAATGATATAGTTGCCTACTCCATTCTTCATACCTCATCGATTTCCTCTCGCTGTATTGACGTATTATCTGATTACCTAAACAACACTTATATTTTTAAGCAAAGATGGATAGTGGCTAGCAATGGTATTCATGACGCGCGTTTCATTCTATTTGAGACTCGTTAACTGGATGTACCTGCATCTTACAGTTGATGTTCTTTCTGGAACTCAAACTCAGCACCGTTCTCTTCAAACGACAACGCGTTCTCCACCTAGCTACTGAGTCCTGATAGCCACTTGCTTGTGCAAACGCGATGGCGTTTGAAGCGAATGGTACTGGGTTCGAGTCCCATAGTAAACATCAACTGTGAGATGCAGCTTCATCCAGCTGACAAGTCTCAAATAGGAAGAAACGCACATCCTGGACTCCACTGCTAGCCACTATCCATCTTTACTTACTGGTTTCGTTACTTTCCTAATCAAATACACTTGATTATTTGAGATTTCTTCTTTGTTTTCTAAAAGATAGTTTCAAAATCACAAGATCGTTTGTCAGCATCTCAACAATGTATTTACATTCATAATTAGCCTTAGTCAAGTTAAATACTGATGTAGTGTGGTGGGGGTTACTTATATCCATTTAAGTAGTATATAACAATGGTCAGGCCTAGAATGTATTTCAGTAGATCATCGAGATGGAATGAACGGAAACGGAACGCAATCGGTATGAAAATGCATCAACAATGGAATCTGAAACAATCGACTGATATCTACAAAAGGAACAGTTAAATTTGAGAAGATGGATTGATAATTCGCGAATTCACTATATGGTTCTCAGATTTTATTGAGATGGTCTGTAATTCCGTATAAAATACATTAGACTGTCCCCCAGTTGTTTTCTTGCTTACTACAGTAGGACCAGTTACGTTTACAATTTACACTTTGAAAGTGAACATGGATAAGATTAACTGAATGAGTTAACTGTAGAATAAATGCTCCCTCTTAATTGATTTACAGTTCTAGTGTAAAGTATAATTTCATTCTAAATGCTTTAATAATAAATTTTCAATTTATTTCTATGAACAGGCTACACCAGCTATACAACCCTTAACAACACTTAGTCTTTCTGGTTTATCTACATCATCTGCTTTTACTAATCTTGCACGAGCTTTACTTCCTACATCAGTTGTTTATAATACTGGAGAATCATTAACTGCACCACCATCATTGTCTGGTGCTCCACCTCCAACATTATTTCATAGTCCTAATTTAATGCCAAATTCTAATCTACTTCTTTCAAATTTAAGACCACCAATGTTTCCCCAACAACCGCAACAACCACAACACTTGTTACAGAATTTTCAAATTCCATCTGCTATGGAACCATCTTATCTTTCATCACAAAATAGATTAGCTGGTCCATTAAATATGGGTAAGTAACATGACTGAAGATGTTTTAAAAAAAAATGTGTTAAGAAATCTATTAAGTACTTGAACACTTTTGACGTTATGGGAATTATAGGTAACGTTGAGATGTGTATTGCATATGGTTAATCATAGTCTAGTTTAATATGAGATGGAATGGATACCAATCCATGTACACTTGAAGAATGTAACTTGCAATCTAACCAAGTTATGGAATTATTTCATCACAGTGTTACTAAATTATGGGCTTCTGGATTTAATTTGAATCGATATTTGTTATCAGAAGGGGTTTTGTGGAGATTTTTAGAAATTTCAATAGTTGAAATCATGAGTCAATTGAAGCTAAACCACCTGGGTTCGAATCTTGCGGGGGGTTAGATCGTGGATGAGCACTGCTAATGAGTTCCATACTAGGACGAAACGGCCGTCCAGTGCTTCCAGGTTTTCCATGGTGGTCTAGCTTCAATCGACTCATGATTTCAACTATTGAAATTTCTAAAAATCTCCACAAAACCCTTTCTGATAATAATCATCTGCTCACTAGTGATTGACTTCAAGAGGCATTTCCTGAAGTTCTAGTGCGAAGCAGTAACCAGTGGAGTTCATCCAGGTCTGTTGTGAGTTAGTGGCTCACTGAAGACAATGGTGGATGTGTCGCTCAATCTCGTGGATTAATTGAAGTTAGACATTAACACGATTGGATGCCTGCTCAGTGGTCTAGTGATTATGCGCTCGCGTGATAAATTGATAGGTCCTGGATTCGAGGATTACGAGGTGGGATCGTGTATGCGCATTGCTGAGGAGTTAAATACTAGGACGAAACGGCCGTCTGGTGCTTCCAGGTTTTCCATGATTACTTATGATTTCAACTATCGATATTTATCATCCACTCACCAATGAGCTAAGCTGATATCGATGGAGGTTTCAGTGTTGTTTTAAACAGTTTATTCTTTCATTATCATTCTCCAGGAACCGCCATTTTATTTAAATATCACGCATTCATAAGTAGTTAGGCTTGAGCTGGAACTCATGATGTCTCAGTGAGTTATCATGATTGATTGAGTTAGTCGAACCAGGAGTCAGGTTATAGTTCACCGACGATAAACGGTAAGTGTTGCATTTCATCCTTATCGAATAAACTGAAGCTGAAAGTTTAGATTTTTTGTATTCAGATTCAATGGTCCGAACTATTTATGTTCATCATAGGAAATGAACGTATTCATCGTTCGATAAATTAACCACCTTTCTACTACATGATATTGATTGCTTCTTCAGAAAATGCTGAAACTAATTACAAATGTCACTTGGTATTGTTTACTTGAATCATCCTATTGATGTTTAGGACTGCAATTGATCAGCTAATATCAAGGTATTACGCACAGTATGCACATATGACAATAACAGACTGATCAAGTACAGTCCTGAATATCAATGGGAAGATTCAAATAAACAATACCAAGTGAATTTAAAACTTCACCCCATTGTACGAGCAAGTGGTAGCTAAGTGAATAACGTGATGTCGTTTGAAGCGAAATCTACTGGGTTCAAGTTCCAGAGTAAACAACGACTCCGAGATGCAGGTACATCCAGCTGAAGAGTCTCAAATAGGATGAAAAGCTCGTCATGGATTCCACTTCTAGCCACTATCAATCTTTGCTCGTAACTACAAATGCGTTTTTCAACTAATCTAAAGAAGCGACTCTTTGTGGTAAATTTTCATAGACAGTAAAAAAGAGAGCATTTTTAATACTTCAGAAAAAGTGTACTATTGAAGATCGTGAGTGACTGTAAAACCATCTTTTGAAACTAATCAATAAAGATTATGTCTTGAAACTCTCCAAATAATATCACATGTCAAGTCAACAATCCCACTCCTAATTCTAATTTGGTATATTTCTCATTTAATATGTTCTTAAAGTTTCGTGTCTCTCACTTGATCAATTACATTCCCTACCAACACTCTTAACAAATAGCGGACAGCTAGGTCCGAATTGATCTACTATTCGCAAGCTCCTTTCTATGCCCCTGACTTGAGTCCAGGAGTAGTAACCAGCCTTTACTTCACCTATATTTCAATCAGACATTTTTAATATACAAACACAATGGACCGCATTACATCATTAGATGAGACATAACAAATACACAAAGACAAACCAAGAGTCGTTGTGATTAGTAAAGACTGAAAGTAATCGAACTGGCAACAAATCACGAATGATAAATCGTTAAACATTAGTTAATGGGTGTAACAGAGGAGTTTAATAAATGGAACATATATATATAGATTGATTTCGTCTTGATAAAGTTAACTGAGACATTGAGCGATTAGTCAACAAAATATTTGGATTTCTTAGGCACGCCAATTCGGTTACCGAAAACTGAGATCTCTTCTTACTGAAATAGCCGGTTGGGCGCATATATCGGAACTTAATGTATCTGTATTGGAATCGGACATTACATAACACAACATGAATCCTCATCTCATACTGATTGTCGTGTTAAAACTATGAAGAGCTACTTTAGATCAGTAAAGCATATCTTCACCAATTCTTTTTCTAAAATATCAGTTTTCTTTTATTTAAAACTATCTTTATCCCTTAACACTGAAAATGTTTGTTTTTTTTTCTAACACTCAACATTTTAGGATTAATTGGTGATATTGCACAAACTGATCTATTGAATGATCCATCATGGCAAGCTGAACAAAGACGAAGAATTGATCTACAAAGAACACGTTCATTGTTAAATGAACAAGAAAGGAAATTATTTGAAGAATTGAAAAATATTCGTAATCGACGAGCTGGTCTTTCAAAATTAGAACAATTTGGACGTTCTACTACTGGTAGTGGTAGCAGTACTGTTGGTACTTCTGGATTAACACCTTTAGAAAGTTATCGTCGAGTTACTAAACGTATATCAACCAGTGAAGATGCACGTCTTAGAAATCGTAATAGACCTTTATATGCAATTGGCAGATCTGGGTCAGGTTAGTTATGATTTACGGGTATAACAGAGGAATTAATATATTTTTCTCTCTTTTATGGGATACTATATATACTACGATAATACTTCTATTGACAGAGTTTATAGGCCATACACAGATTAGATCGCATTATATCCGATGCTCGATTCATGATCACAAAAAATGATAGAAAGTAATTATTTTCACATAATTACATGCAGCCACATTCAGTGAATTCAGAGTAGCAATAAATAAAGGGTAAGGAAATCATACATTTAATAGTTAGCAAGCTAAAGGTCTGTTTTTCACTCTCTCAAATGCCCTGGTACGGCTGAGTGTGAAGAGTATCAGGTCTCACTCTCAAAATGCTCTCATATGGCCACATGCATACAACCTGATCAACGCCTTCTCCCACTACGAGTATTGTTTACGAAATTGAGAAGACGAAAAGTGACTGTCCGACGCTTTAACCGGGTTGGTGGATACGGAGATTCTATCTAGGGGAGTTGGAAAACCCTTATTCCAAACCAATCGTACACATATGCTTCAGGATCTTGAGGGAATCAATGGCCTCCAAACCTATTATTGGCTACCGGCTACCATGAGACTGCATCTGTCTTATGAATTAGACGTTTAGGTCAAAGGCTCCGGGTGCTGCCCCCTAGGAAAACCACCTGCTTCGGTCTGGGTGTCCACTCAATATTCTAGCCGTCATAGAAATCAAGTGACTTGTATAGTGCATATGCATTCGGTGCCCCTTTGTACCAAGATTTATATGTTTAAATAAATAAATAAATAAAATAACAGTGGTAACGTACATTATGCTTCCTTTCACTGCACACCAATCTGAGAACAAATCATTTATGTGAAGGCGTTAGATTTAATATACATTCGGTAACATAAAAAAATGAATAAGATTCCTCTTTTCACTTAACGGAAACCATCTACACATTGCGCACAGTTAGCTCTTTCATATTTATTTTCTGTGTAAATGATTCTTTTTAAAGACCCATTACTTCTCTTTGTCAAAATTCTATTGAGAAATAAGACAGAATAACCTACATCATTTTCAAACATAAAAACTATGAAAGGATTGACATGTCAATTAAGTTAACATTCTCATTATAAATGACCAAAGTGTCGTTATGTTACTGTACTGATTCAAAGTGTTACAAACTAGATTATTGAACATTGATATCATCTCTAGTTTTCTATTGTTAAATCTTTCTTTATTTACATTTTTCCAGCTGATACAGCAAGAGTACCACTTGGCAGTGGTAGTCATTATCCATATGGTGATGCTTATGGATCAGATCTTGGTATGTTCATGAATTAACTACTTCTATGAATTCAGTGTTTATCTTATTGTGCTAATGCGTTATAACAACTTGGACGGATGCATATATGTGCCTGGTCCTACGTTGTAGCTAACTGACTGACTGACTGACTGACTGACTGACTGACTGACTGACTGACTGACTCATGATGTATTAATGTTTACAACAGTTATTATCATTGGTAATAATTCATTATTAGATACAACTCTGTATACCTTGAGATGAAGACATACTTTTCATGTAAGAGATTGTGATATACTATCCGATTGTTTAAACTGAAATAGATTATCTTCCATAATTTGATATGATTCCAGTATAATAAATAATAACTATCGTCTAAATTTGATCGAATTGTTTCATTGTATTTGGGCGTCAAGTTGATGCAAGACAAGGAAATATCATCTTTGAAAAAGATTGAACCAGATTGCCAGACGAAACGTTGAATTTACTTCAAATTCATTCGCTGAGATTTTACAAATACATTCTTCCTCTTTATTGAAATAGATTGTATTAGTCTCAGAAGAAGTTTTTGTGGAGATTGTATTCATTTCAATAGTTGAGATCATGAGTCAAATGAAGCTAGACTACCATGGAAAATGTGGAAGCACTGAATGCGCACTGCTGAGGAGTCCCACAATTAGACGAAACGGTCATCCAGTGCTTTCAAATTTTTCATGGTGATCTAGCTTTAATTGACTCATGATCTCAACTATTGAGATGGCGTTAGCTTTGGTGCTGAAACTTAACAAATTCAAAGTTAATCATTTCAAGTACTAAACCACCGCTTAGCACATTAATTTTTAAATACATATTAGTTGATCAATTTTTAAATATGAATTTCCATCTCCAGCTGTCTATTGAAACTCAACTAGATCGAGTGTTGAATATATGAAATTAAAGTTTCAACTGGCACCCAGCTTGCATAACTGAGATACCTATTCCTGTCATCTAGACACTTCAACGAGTTATCTGTAATTATGTTGTAATGATGACGATTCCTGAACTGTTAACATCTAACTGCCAATCATTTATTGGCAAGGTGGATTATCTTCGATTCCTATTAAGTTTAAATATGTATCGTAATTATTGCGTAATCACAATTCATCAATCCTGGTTAAATGATTTACAAGACGATTACTCAGTATCACTACAAGATTTCAGTATGTGTCGTCAAGATTGATCAAGAAGTAAGAAACGGTAGCTTGGTGACACATTTTGGCCTGGGAATTCTACATTGTACTAGAAATATAGTATTGAATAAAGCCATTAATAATAATAATAATACCTCACGGATAGCATAAGATACTACTGATAATACGATATTGTGGTTTAATTGAATATAACAACACTAATCTTAGATCGCACAGCTTTCGTACATGACAAATATCAAGGGGATAGGTACTTGATTATTTTCAGCTAGATTTAACTGCCTCATACAAAGATAAGCTGAGAGAGTACAATGGAAAATACAGCTTCTATATGTATATATATGTTGTTTTGGCATTCGCCCACCACGTTAGCCTTTCTATCCCATACACACCAGCAAATTTAAGTGAAGACAGTCAGGGAAGCAGTAGCCTCTGAATGAGTCGGTTTCAACATACACAAAGGAAAAAGCAACATCCTTAAATACAGCCCAATCTCACTTGATGGCGAACCTCTGGAAGTGATGGAAACATTCACTTATCTGGACAGCATCATCAATGAATAAGGAGGATCTGACGAGGATGTAAAAGCACAGATTGACAAAGTAAGAGCAGCATTCCTACAGCTGAAGAACATACACAACTCAAAACAACTGTCAATCAATCTCAAAGTCACAATCTTCAATACAAGCATCAAAACATTTCTACTGTATGGAGCTGAAACCTGAAAAACTATCACAATCATCATCAAAAAAGTCCAAGTATTTATAGACAATTGTCTACACAAATGTTCAATGTCTGATGACCGGATACTATCAGTAACAGTCTACTGTGGAAGAGAACAAACTAACTTCTAGTTGAAAAGGAAATTAGGAAAAGACGATGGAAATGGATAGGAAATACATTACATTACAAACTGAATCACGATACAATCACTAACTTGGAATTCTGAAAGGAAACAGAAAAGAGGAAGGCCAAAGAACACACTGCATCGAGAATCGGAGTCAGACATCAAAATAATGAAAAGTAACTAGCGAGGATTTCCTCGGAAAGAGTTGGTTGGAGAATACTGGTACACGGCCTATTCTCTTCCACGAAGGGTAACAGTCGTAAGTAAGTAAGGTTGTCTGTGAGATCTAAAATTTTAGTTTCAATCTTTGGTTGCTATGTGATTGTAAACGTGAGTCATAAATTCGAAAATAAAAAAGACATTCAATGATTACATGGAACTTGTCAGCAATAACAGGTCTATAAAAGATATCTTAGTTTGCCTATGGGTTAGGAGCCAACTGAACAGCTTACTGATAATGTATCAGATTGTGACACTTGTTGGTACTGATTAAAATGTTCAAGGAAGCAAAAGTCGGGGGGGGGTATATAACGTTGATAATGTGTACGAACCAGTATGTAACTTTGATTCTTTGATTTTCCTCCACCCGCATTCAATGTGTAATCACTTATCTTAGTACCTAATATTGTAAGCGTTTACTTAATTACACATTTTTTCAATTTACAGATGAAGATTCAGCTCTATTGGCTATTTTAGAACAAAGATTGTCTAGAAAACCGGAAAGTCGAAGAATCTACTCGGATTCCGAGATGGGATTACAAGATGCAGCTGATATTCCATTACGTATTGTTGGACAACAACAACGTTCGGGTCATGTAGTTGACGGGTCTAGTCAAGCTTTCACTGGTCCTGCTATACCAGGTAACAGTATTGTTATTATTGTACCTGAAAATCTTCGAAAGATAGACTCTTCGACCGCCTTGATGTTTTATATCTTCTCGTCTTTATATAATCCTAAAGTCTGTCAACCTATGGATAACCATTTTGTATTTTTAAGATAAAATAAATTTCAGGAATTTAAGTCTGGTGAGTATGAGGTGATATTGCATTAATATAATCAGTGATACGGGTAACAGTCCTAATTATGAGAAAGTTAAAAGATTCACTGATTAGTAATTCAATATAGATCAATGTAGAACTATACAAACATGACATTATCAATACGGGGTTGTGGAAATTTGAAACCGTAAACCGATATATGTTAGACCACCATTGGAAACCTGAAGGCAGTGGACTGCTGTTTTGTGCTAGTATGAGACTCCTTGTCAGTGCACACTCACGATACTGCATGCTAGAATCTAACCTTCGCTCTCGCATGCAAACGCTTAATTTCTAGTGACTAGCTTTGGGAAAGAATTCTCAGAATTCTAATGGGGAGCTGTGACCAATGAAGTTCAACAGTTTCAAGTGTGAGGCAGTTATCCACTGAAGACAATGGAAGATGATCACGCAATTTCGTGGATTGATCGTTGGTTTAGTGGTTAGGCGATCGCACGCAACACCAAAAGTATTGAGACCAACTACTCCGTGTGGGATCGTGGATGCGCACTGCTGGACAGCATCACCATAGGACGAAACGACTGTTCAATGCTCCTAGGTTTCTAATGGTGGCCTAACACTAATCAGTTCATGATTTCAGTGAAACATGACTTTGTTCAATATCCACTAACCAGTCAATTGTACTTTTAATTTATTCATTGCACGATCGATGTATCAGTCAAAGTCACGCATTTACAAATCTTCGCAATCAGAACCACATAAAGGTCAGATAATTGGTTGAGAGGAAATACTGTAGACCTGAGTTTGCAACTGTTTAGCATATATCAGCAAGGCATCCTTGTAGTTGGACAGAACTGGTATTTAATGAGGGAATCGAACCTATACCCTCACTACAAAAAAACATGTACAAATTAGTTCTGCAAACACCAATTTACTAAATCTGGTCATCACTTACCTGACAGGTTTAGCGACATCCAAATACTAACAACCGGCACAAATATATAGCACCTTTTCAAAGGTTACGCTTCACAGACACAAAGTGTTACATAATGGTTTACTATATAGTGTTCTTCATCAAATGCCCTGATAAGGCTGAGGGTATGAAGAGTCAGCTCTCCCTCCCATGGCCATATGTATAAAGCCAATACCCAGGAAGTCCTACTCACTTCCTTCTCGCGGTATTGCTGTTGTTTAAGAAATTGGAAGATCGAAAAGCGAATGTCCGAAGCTTTGATCGTGTTGATGGACACGGAGGATCCACGTAGGGGAGTTGGAAAACCTTGATTTCACATCAATAGTGCACATTGGCTGCAGTATCCTGATTGAACAAGTGGCGTATGAACCGATTACTCGTCACCCGCTACTATGGGACTTTATCTCTCGACGTTGCTTCACTGCCTTGTGAATCAGACCTTTAGGTCGAATGCTTGAGTTGTATCACAGCCTATATACAAATCAAGTGACTTGTGTAGCGCATATGTATTTGGTGCCCCTTTGTACCAGTATTTATATGTTCAAATAAAGTATGATATACAATATATGTTTAAGTGTCGCTTGAATTACATGCTATACAACTTGATTGACTGTGATCGTTTGTATTTCTATAATAATTAAGTTGAACACTGAGATGGTGGAGAAGATTTGTAGCTCAGGTGGATGATTTTGATGGAGTTTTGTTCTCTGAGCTGGATGGTTTGGTCGTTTGGTCTGCCGTAGAATTGGGGGAGTACTGGTCCATTGGATTTCATTCTCCATTGATCTTGTTTTGTTATTTCTCCTGCTTTAACTAGCTTGTTTAATGTCTTTGAGACCAAACCATCCAGCTCAGAGAACAAAACTCCATCAAAATAAGTTGAACACTATTTCAGTGTTATTGGTCTGTTTACCTTCAATGAATACTGATCGATCAATTCTTGATACAAGTTTAAACATAAAAACTTATTTTACAGTTTCATCAATAAATTTACTGTTTCCATACATAGATCTTCAATTGAAATCAACTCTTCCTCCGACTCCACCTTCTCGTTATTGTATTCATGAATTTGATGATTCTTTACAATCCATATACTATCCATATCATCATATCATACATCATTATGAACATGATAATACATATCGAGATATTAGTCCATTATCTGATATTCTTATGTCATACGGTAAGACTCAATCCATATGTCTATGTGCATATGTATGTGTATGTGTATAGATGAAATGATTTACTACTAAGCATGACTATCTTACTCAATTGATATGCATGTAAACCTGATTGAAATGTATATTTGCTTAAATAAAATAAAGTTTGATAGAATATCATACTCTGATAAATAAGTTTTCAAACTTCATTATATTACTTAATAGAAACATTAATAACATCTTTATTCTTTTTTGTAATCCTATATGTAGGTGAACAAAATGAAGACTCGGAATTATTTCCAAGACGGGTAAGTTCTTTTTTTTGGGGGGGGAGGGGAGGGAAAGTAATTCGTAATCATTTTACATAAACAGAATGAAGCTAATATAAGTAGTAGATAGTTTCTCTAATGAGATATTATTAATGTTGGGGTATTCAGAAAATACCCCAGAAATTATCTAATGCTATTCCTGAATGGGAAGTAGTGTCATTTCCCCATTGGTCAACATTCTTCCAACGTGTCATTTCCCTATCTAATGCCATTCCTGAATGAGAAATAGTGTCATTTCCCCATTGGTCAACATTCTTCCAACGTGTCATTTCCCTATTGGTCAATATTTATTTGCGTCATTTCCTGAAGGTTAAATCCTGTACAAATGTGTATTTTCTATTTTATGGTACGATGTAGTCTGTTTGTTTGGTATATAAACAGAGTATGTTTGAAATATAATGATTCATATCTCCGAGGCTGAGACTTGTGTTCTGGACTCAATTGGCTGGGCTAGACAGGGAAGCAGGGCCAATCAGGACACTAGGCTGCTCGCTCGTGTTTTATGCGTCACTGTTTCGATCGATAATAGGCTGCTCTCTAATAGGCGGATCACACGTTATAACAATTAATAATTAGGGCATAGTAGATAGAAAGATGTTTTCTCCTAATGTAGAACTTCTAATCAGTGTTTCAATATGAAATCATCCATAAATCTAACCAAAGATCTTTAAATATTGAGGGAGGCAGTTTACTTTTTAGATCAATTAGTTGCGATGTAACGTTCCATATGTCTACCTTGAGTCGATTCTGTATAGATACAATGTGACAATTACTCTACCATTAATGAGCATTCCCCGTCAAAGTAGTTGGTGGTTGAGAGTGTATCACAATCACCCCAGTCGATGAGAACCCACTGATTCATCCATTGAACTGTAATCCTTTCCTCCTGTTTAACCTCAGTAGTATACACTCGATAGTCCCAAAATACGCGAGCAATTCAATAAAGCCACTCATAATAATTTGCTCATTCAACTCTCAGATGCTTTATCTTAGGTTAGATTAGTCATCTTTGAAATATGTATTTATCATTGTGATGAAATTCACTGGATCCAAATCCACTGTTGGACGACCTTGAGGTTTTGAGTTGTTCTCTTTCATTGAAAGACGCGAAATCTGACTTTACATCAATTCAAAAGTTTTCTAGGTTGACAACATGTTCTTAAACGTTATAGTTGAGGTTTATGATCAACGTTCAGGCTTAGGATCTAGGGCTAGTTTATATGAATCATAAATCCTAACACTGATCATAAACCCTAAAATGACTCAATCCCAGTCCTAACCCTATCAGTCTTCACTCTCATTCTTCAGTAATAAAGGTAGTAGGTTGGTGAATCTGTGTTAATCCTGACAGATTGCTTTCCAGTGAAGGTACAGATTCTCCTTGAAAATAATCATTGATGGGGCTGATACCACCATTCATAAACCCTAAAACTGACTCAATCCCAATCCTAACCCTAATTCGTCCTTCAAATCTCCCCCCAAACCAAGGTTGCGATGAAATATCACTCCATCATGTATAGATTCACAATAATTTCATTCTTATATATACTAATGAATGTTTTTCAACAACTTAATGCCTTATACGTACTAAATGATGTTTCATTCAATAAAACTAACCATAATAAGATTGATAGAGTACATGCCGGTTGGCTATTTGAGGCATGACCCTGGAAATTACTTTCTCGATAGTGATTGGTTCATTTGTTTGTTTTGAGTTTTATTACCACAACTAAAGGAAATATGAATTTTTGTAAAAATTTTTTTCGAGTTCCGGTGTAATGAATGAGAACACCAGTGGTGACAATCAAATGTATCTTAACACAATATTACAGGGTATCTTAGTAAAATCTGTAAACCACACAGTAAATACTTCATTTGTAATATATCCATCATTTGTCTCAGACTTCATTGTTGTTTCTTCGTTTCCATACCAACCCCTTTCTTCTCTTCTCTTTTCTCAAACTTCTGCTTCTAGGCATTCCACTTTCAATCGATAATACATACCAGTTATATCTGTCGACATTAATAGCACACACCACACTAGTACTACTCCAGTTACCACTAGTCGAAATGATCAAACCTATAAATGAGGTTGTCTTTCTCTAAATCCTCATCAAGAAAAATATTGTGAAGAAAAGTTACACGACAAGGCAGATGAATGAAGCAGACACACACACACACACACAAAAGAATAATATAGTGAATGATTACATAATAAATTCGCTTAGTGTTGTATTTCTTGTATTTTCTCATTGTTATTTAGGACTGCCATTGATCAGTCTCTTATTGGCATATGTGCATCCTGTGCGGATTGCCTCGAAATGGCCTTGATTCACAAACTTTATAAGCAAATACGGATGGTGTCTAGCAGTGAAATCCAGGTCGCGCGTTTCGTCCTATCTGTTACTCGTCAGCTGGAATGAATCCCAAAGTTGATTTTCACTCCGGGACTCGAGCCAAGCGCCGTTCGCTCCAAACTCCATCGCGTTATCCAGGATGCTCATATGCCAACAAGACACTGATCAATTGCTGTCCTGAACATCAATGGGAAGGTTCAAGTAAACAATACGAATTCAGTTTAAAACTTCACCCCATCGCACATGCAAGTGGTTATCAGGACTTAGTAGCTAAGTTGATAATGCGATGTCGTTTCAAGAGAACTTTGCTAGGTTCGAGTCCTAGAGTGAACATAAACTGTGAGATGCAGGTACATCCATCTGACGAGTCCCGAATTGGATGAAACACGCTTAAATGATTAAGTCTAAATATGTTCACTATTCCTATGCAATATAGTTATGAATGATTACGTAATTAAATTCATTCATTGTTACTATGACCTAATCTATTTTGTTCATTTTCATTATTTCATTAAAACAACTTTGTGTTTTCAATGGATCACTTTGAAATTACAAATGAAACTGTTTTAATTGAATTTAATAGCCAAGGATACAAGTTGTACATTCTCCTGTTGAAGCATCCAATCAAATAACCAGTAAGTCGTTAAATGTTCCTTTGAAACTTCGTTTTTTGTTTGGTTTTTTTCTGGTGAAGTTCGTTTTTTTCTGATCTGGATGATTTAATGGTGAAGTCTTCATGGTCATGTTAGACAATATTATTTAGCATAGATTTCAAACAGATGATAGGCTATTCGAATTTTTCACCTTTTGATTGAGAGTCTATCATGTCGATAAATTATTCTTGTTTGGTTATTGCTGACCTTCATTCTGTCATTGTTTGTATGGTTAGTTTGATTGATGATGTTGTTCAAGAGGACAATAAGACGTTTGTAGTTGAAATATTCACGAAAATCATCCATCTGAGCTACAAGTTTACTCCATATACTTCATGTCGATGATGTCATTACTGAATATAGACTGTTTTAAACGATAAAATAACTGTATACATGATCTCATTTCCGCAGCAATTTGCAAAACTCTCCCAGTCTCTCACATTGTGCGAGCATTCCATGTACCTAAATAAATGGTTGCTCTGGTTGTCAGAAGAGGCATCGGCCTCGTGACTTCCGAAGAAACTCGGCTTTCATCATGAGACGTCATAATTCTTCTAAACGAAGACCTCCTGACTTCCAGGGCAGAGTTTAAATGGTTTGAATAATTTTTTCTGATTCGAGTTTTTCTAGCGAGTTAGTTTTCTACGGGATGGGTTCGCTAACCCCATACCCAACTCTCCTCCTTTATCCGGGCTTGGGACCGGCAGTAGCCCCCCGAAAGGGACTCCAGGCGTCCTATGCTCCATTGGGAGTAACAGGCGTAAGTAAGTAAGTAAGTAAGTAAGTAAGTAAGTAAGTAATACATGATCTAGCGGTTTGATCCACAAGACAGTGGAGCAATGTTAGGAGATGCAGTCCCATGATAGCTGGCGACGAACAATAGGTTCGTACGCCATTTATTCCCTTTGGATCGTGGGGCCCATGTTTATCATTGGTCTGGAATGAGGGTTTTCTAACTCCCCTAGATAAATCCTCCATATCGACCAATACGGTTAAAGCGTCAGACATTTGCTTTTCATCCTTTCAATTTTGTAGTCAACAGTAATGTCATGAGAAGTCAATGATTGGGACTTCACTGGAAGTGTGTATACACGAAGCCATGTGAGAGCATTTGAAGAGGTAGAGCTGACTCTCCACATTCTCTGCCGTACCAGGACATTTTGGGGCGATTAGACTAATGACCATTTGTTTGACTAATAACCCTAATAACTATGAATACTGACTAGAAATTTTAAAGCCTCTTAGTCCAGAAGCTCTTTGGATTCTTAATCACCAATCAGAAAATGTAGACAGTAAACAGAATGCGTTGCGTTATTATTCTGATTCTGATTCAAAAACTCACAGATTTGTATGTATCAATGAAACCATAAGTATGAAGTTAAGATATAGTCATAATCAGATTATGTAACGCAAAACTAAACTAGTATATACGGTAAGTCTATAGCTTCCCTATCTTTATAGCATTACTTACAGTACATAATTCTACTTATAAGTCTTCCCCCCAATGTTCATCACCATTTTTCCGTGAATAGGTGGACCAACTAGAGGCAGAGCATTTTCTGGATCTCCGACAATTTATCAAACTCAAGGACCATATACAAAATCAAGATTATCTTATATGTCCCCTGCTAAAAGATCGTAAGTCAACCTCGGATACATTTATCATCATGTTGTTTTTCTATTTTCGCATGTGGTATTTCAATTGAATTATGTTCATATAGGCTGTCGTTACTGTGGTAACCATCTCCACGTTCTCTTCATACTGATACAAAAACATATACTTGTTTGATGGTGACTAATTACTTTGAGCGGGGTGGGGTAATTTGGAGAGATCTGATGAGGTGGCCATGACTAGTAGAGTTCGATCATGTCGATTATAAGACAGTTACCTACTAATGGATATAGAGAGAGCAATCATTCTGTCGAACATTCTATCTTATATAAATGACATATCAGGAATTAAAACGAGATTATTGATACTGTTTAGAATCAATTATATGCAAACAAATGATGAATTGAGAAAAGAAAAGCCGAACATCATCTACAAAATGAATTGCTCCAATTATAAGAAATACTATAAGCTAAGACGTTCTACATCTTCATGTGAATGAACACCAGCTGACTGTGAAATGCCATGACATATCTTTGCTTATATCATCAACTCATGTAGATAACTGTGAAATTGTTAAACTTTCCACCAGATGATATATCAAGAAGACCAGTGAATTGGTAGTTAGCTCAATTAGTAATCAATGAACTGACTGAAAACATCATGGATAATTCAAAGATCAAGAGCATCAGGTCAAAATGAGAGATAATGAAAATGAATATACAGACATTGATACAATGAAGATCAACCGTAACTGATCAAAATAAAAGTCGACAGGACTATGTGAAGGAATTTGAACAATTTCCTTTTACCTGAAGATTATACTTATGATGTTGTTCAGGAAGATGATGAGAGCTTCACAATTGAAGTAATCATCACTAAGAACAAAACTCTATTTGAACTGTTCACTTGATATACAAATCTTCATCATCATCTCAGCTTTTCATGTTATCTTGATGATTATTGATAATAGAGGATTACAAAAATCCATTACTATGTAGACTTGACCATTATCTACATTTTGTCTGATCAGGTTGTCAAGATCTGTGTATGATTTTCTCGATCTTTACTCTTTATAATAAAGAAGTATGTACTTCTATTCAATTTAAGATGAATCATTACGCTTTATTTGTACATGGATTGTTGTAGTATTCGGTTGAGCTGGTTATCTAATATGAGCATCTTGAATTTGTTTTCCTATTTCCTCATCTCCACTGTTATAATTCTCTTTTATTAAACAACTCAGCTATTCCAATTGCTTAGTATTCTTGGACACCAATTCACTCGACAAGTCCTCAAATCAGAACATGGTTGAACAGGAAAGAGGTTATATTCCAAATAACATGATTAGATGCAAGTATGAAGCACAATAGGAGAAACGTTAGTGTATTTATAGTTTTTACATGAAAAGATTCTAGGGTGTTTTCCAAGTATCGACTAGCGTCAACACAATCATGCATTGAGTATGCACTAATAAGTGTGTTCAAAGTCGTGAAGGCACAAATGAACAAACTACTGTCTTTCAAATCAATCATCATCAATGTAAACCATGACAATAAAGTATCAACAACCATATTGTGTTCCAATTAATTTATAAAACACATAAAAGATATGTGATATAAAAGAATAGTTAAGTAACCAGATTGAGTTGACTTTCCAACTAATTTGGAGTAGATTTAGCCAATCAGAATAATTTTAGGATATTTCTTTATTGAAGTTAAAGAACATTCGATAAAGAAAACCTTCGATATGATCCTAAATCATCTTCCTTTTCAGACCATTATACGACTACAAATAACTATGTAAACGAATCCCATATCTCCTATAACAACTCTCTTCACACCATTGGCACATAACGTTGACTATGATTTGTTGTTGTACATCAACTATTGCATGACATATTATTTTAATATTTCTGATGGATCAAATGGAGTATTGATGTTGGTTCTTTATCAACAAGTACATTAGAAATAACATGATTTGTCTACATCTTAACTTTAAACAGAACAAAAGAACTACTTCACATTGAGTTCTTTGCCTAACTCAAAACTGTATGATTTTTCTTAGGAGTGGTCTGAGAAACAAAAATGAATTCCATCCTTTAACTTTCTAATAATGTGAATCTATAGTGTTTCTTTGTACACACACCTACATTGATTATATTTGACTGATCTCACGTCCAAAGTTGTTGTCCAAAATATGGTGAATATTGTTTATTACATTTGCGTCAATGCAATTGTTCATAATATGCTTTGTCATCAGTATCCATAGTCGATAATATGTGAGTCCAAATCTTGAATATGTCATCTTGGCATTTACCGGTTTGACAGCCTAATTTAACATAGTCAAGAAATACCTAAATTTTGATGACGTATATAACCAGTTCTTTTCCAGGGATTCGTAAAGAAAATAATAACCCAAAGGGTTCTGAAATGAACAAGAATTTATAGATATTACACATATGAGTGACTATCTGGACTCATTAGTTAAGTGGATGACGATTCAAGTGTTTGATTTAAAAGGTAATGGGTTCAGAATTCAAAGGGAATACCGAATTTGTGATGCAAGTATGTGCAGCTGATGAGTCCCGAATGGGACAAAATGCAGATCCTGGATATCACTTCTAGCAACAACCTATCTATTATATATATATATATATATATATATATATATATATATATATATATATATATATATATATATATATATATATATATATATATATATATATATATCTACGTCAATCTTAGAAACAGAACACGGAACACCTTGTTTAAATCGTTCTCTGTAATTTAGTTTGCTTACTTTTTTTTCCATATTTTACAGACATTTCTGGGGACATTCGAGTTATGATGAGCAATGGTCGAGACAGCCAGTTGGTAAGTGATTCAATCTAACCAAAAAAAAATAAGGTTAGATCATTCAGTAATAAAGATGTTCGAAATCAGTTTACAGACAATTCAATGTATATGAAAGGTGATATTTTACTTACTTACTAGCGCCTGTTACTCCTCGGGGAAGAGCATAAGCTGTCCACCAGCATTCTCCAACCAACTTTGTTCTAGGTAGTCCTTCATAGTTGTTTCTTGTTATTACTCATTCTTGTGATATCTACTCTCAATGCTCGGTGTAGTGTGTTTTTTGATCTTCCTCTTTTCCGTTTACCTACAGGATTCCAAGTTAGCACTTGTCTCGTGATTCAGTTTGATGATTTCCTAAATATATGTCCTATCCACTTCTAGCGCTTCTTCCTGATTTCGTCCTCTGCTGAGATCTGGTTTGTTCTCTCCAACAGTAGTTTGTTGCTGATAGTGTCTGACCAACGGATTTGAAGTATTTTGCGTAGACAACTGGTAACAAACACTTGTATCTTCTGGATGATGGCATTCGTAGTTCTCCAGGTTTTCATCCTATACAGTGGAACTGTCTTGACATTTTTATTGAAAATTCTGACCTTGATGCTGGTTGACAACTGTTTTGAATTCCAGATATCCTTCAATTGTAGATATGCTGTTCCTGCTCTACCGATCCGCTCTTTCACATTTGCATCAGATCCACCGTGTTCATCAATGATGCTGTCCATATATGTAAAGGTTTTTACATCCTCCAAATCTTAGTCAAGTGTGATTCGATTGTTGCATGTTGTGTTGTATCGGAGAATCTTACTTTTCCCTTTGTGTATGTTGAGACCTACTGTTGCTGAGGCTACTGTTACACTGGTCGTGTTCTCCTGGATTTGTTGTTGCGTGTGCGATAGACGAGTCAGATCATCTGTGAAGTCTAGATCGTCCAGCTGCGTCCTAGCTGTCCACTGTATCCCATGCTTCCCTTCAGATATTGACGTCTTCATGATCCAGTCGATCACCAGGAGAAAGAGAAAGGGTGATAGTAAGCAATCTTGCCTGACACCGGTAGTCTAAAATATAGCTTGAAAAAAAAAAAAAACTACCGACATCATTGATATACATTCAACATTTCACTGAAGTCCCATCCTTTAAACATGATTATTTCCTTCATCTTTATGAATTCGTTTTAATGTTTCTTTTTTGTTAGACAACCTCATCATTATCAAAGTGAAATTTTGACAAACAATACAATTAGATGACAAGACTATTTTATTGTGATTACAAATTTTAGTTAATAATTCTAAACCTTTTGGCAAATACTCAATTTCTTCAGTTGATTGCCCAATCTCCCTTTCTTTCTTTCTTTCTTTCCTTCTTTCCTTCTTTGTTTCTTCCTTTCTCTTTCTCTTTCTCTCTCTGCCTTTCGATTTCATTCACTCTAATAAGAGACAATGAATAATTCATCTTTAGCTAATATACTACTCATTTAAGCTTATTATCAATTCATTGTCAAATGATGACAACCATTTGAAAAAATATCAAACATTTTCATCATTGAATTTCCGCTTAGTTGAATTTATCTTATTATCTGAATGATTGTTTAAAACTAGGTTCAATGTTATTGTCAATGTCTATTCATCATTGTATAACAATTAAATAAAAATTGAACATTTTACTATTGGGATGTGAGCTACTTATATCCAAATAAGTAGTATATAATAATGGTCAAAAATAAAATTGAGAAGAAAATGAACAGAAACGGAAAGTAATTGGTATGAAAATGTAGGAACAATGAAATTTGAGACAATGAACTGATATTTGCGAAAGGAATAGTCAAGTTTGAGGCAATCGATTGGTGTTTACAGTATGGTTCTCAAATTTTAGTGAAATGTTTACTGATAGAATTCGTTCAACTGCGATCACTGTAAAACATTGTTCTATACTACTGAATAGGATAGAGCTATGAGATTGGATAAGATTACTAGTTCTCTCGGGACTTTCTGATACACCTTACTGTTGATGAGCCTTGATTTTAACACGAAATTCAGATTCTGAAGTTTCAACCAATTGCCTTTCATGATCTTGAATCAGGATCTGTGTTTGGACATTGTTTTAAAACTATAAGATTATGTGAATAAATTTCAAAAGTTTGTTCCCTGTTTTTATACATTTTAGCTGATGGACCTACAATTGATCGATCCTCGTGTACTAGTCCAGTACAAACACATTCTGGTCGTTTACTTCGATCACCAGTTAGTCCACCGTCTAGAGGATATATACGACGTCCATCAGAAGTGATTGATGGAGGTAGTCAGTCGGATACAGCAATTATGTCTGGTTTTAGTAGTCGGGTATGTTATCCCGGTACTTCATATTCTGCACATGATCAACCTGTTAGACGGCCATATAGAGCAATGCGTGGTAAAACATCGGAACCTACGAAACGAAACAGACCTACACAAGTACCAGTATATCGAAGTCCAGAAGATCACAAACCATCAAGATCAAAACAACCAATTTCAAGTGGTTTAGGTATGATAATGTCTTGATTTCAATTATTCTGTTTATCAATTGTAAATGTGACAACTAAATAGTTTCCCAGTTAATTTTGGTTTTCGCAATAAGAGTCTTTTATCTTTTCAATGAAAGTGCCATATTAACTATTCACAAAATTGATAATGTCACTCTATTTGAATACTTTAAGAAGTTTTACTGTCATGTCTTCAAACCCGTTGTTTGATATCACGTGCCAGGTCACCAATCAGAATCCTTTTTCTAATTTGGTCTGTTATTACCGTATATAGCTTAGCATCTCTGTTTTGGTTAGTTACACTCCCGATCAGCATCGCTACTGGTGATGAGCAGGCTGCTAGGTCACTATTGGTCTACTATTTGCAAGCTCCTTTCTATGCCCCTAACTTGAGTCTAGGAGTTGTGACTAGCCTCTACTATCCTTATATTTCAAACAGACATTGTTTATATACAATCAAAATGGACCACATTGTATCATAAGATGAAAAATAACAAATGTACAAAAACAAACCAAGAGTCGTTGTGATTAGGAAAGACTGTAAGTAATCGAACTGGCAACAAAGTTAGAATAGTAAGTTGCACAACAATGGTTATTGCTTCAATTCTTCAGAGCGTCTTTATAGTAACATGCTTGTTTAGTCGATATGGATAGCCATCTTAATGAAAGTCAGACATGAGATGATTTTCTTAAACTTTTAGCTGATTGACGGTCTTGCTAGAAGTTTTTAGTTATTTTGAATAGTGTCTGCATTCACCTTCTGTTAATTGCTACTGGGTTGTTATCGTAGTCATTTTCGATTTGATAGAGAAATTTAAAAAGCTCATTTCTACTTTAGTTAACTACAGAAGATGTGCTCCAGATGCGTTCTTTAAGATCATGAACCGATCATTGAAAACCTAGAAGCACCAGACTTACGTTTCGTACCAGTATGCGACCCCTCAGCAGTGTGCAAACACTACCGTGCACACAAGGCTCGAACTCTATACCTTCAATCCCTCGCGTGAACGTTTAAACTCTAGACCACTGAGCAGACAACCAACGGTATTTTTGTCTCACTTCAATCCATCCACAAATTTGCACAACCGCATTCTATTTTCCTCACTGGGTAACTGCCTCACATACGACACAGATTGGGTCCACTTGTCACGGCTTCTCACTGGAACTCAGGAGACTTCCTCTCGAAGCTAGCCTCTGGTGACCACGTGATAATTATCAGTATAGAGTTGTTGCGATTGTTGACTTTAACTGTAATCAAGGATTGATTCAAGTTATACTTAAACAGTGTTGGATGCCAGCTCAGTGATCTCGCGAGCGAGATCGTGGATGCACACTGCTGAGGAGTCCCACAACGGCCGTTCAGTGCTTCCAGATTTTCCATGGTGGTCTTTAGAATTGTTGAATTTCACTGTTTTTAACACTTAATGATCTTAATTTGGATAATCATGTGGCCACTTACGACTAATTTCAAGAGCTGACTCCTAGAGTTCTAATAAAAGCAGTAATCTGTGGAGTTCAACCATCTACACATTAACATGGATTGATTGAAGCTAGACTATGTAAACCATTGATCGCTTTTCAGGATAATTGAGGACCCTAGGTTCATCCCCTCTTGGAATCAGTTATCCTCACTTCTAAGGAGTTCTATCATAGAATGAAAAAGCTCACCTTTGCTTCACAGTTTTGAATTTTACAGTTTTACATCATGAACTAAAGTTAGCTAGACAAATAATGAATATCAGGAAGCACTGAACAACCGTTTAATCATAGTATGAAACTATTCAGTAGTATGTTTTCACATCCCCTTCGGTGATTCAATCCAGGACCATCAAATTCTTTTTTTTTTTATTAAATAAACTAACTTCACACCTAAACTAACGTATTATGACAATCTTCTTTGATCATTTATTACAGAACATATACCGGATAATGCTTTAGTTGTGTTAAGCAGAATATCAGCATCCACTCATATATGGTACCGTCCTGAAATGTCACGGAATGACGGTAAGTATGAAATAAGAAACTTGAGAAACTTTCTTTTATAACTGAACCCCTTTTCTCCAATCTGTCCAAGTTATAACATAAACTTCTTAACTGTTTAAATCATGCCGAAAAAAGGCAGTGAGTAGAATGAATCCCCGTGTACAAAAACATAAACGTCAATAAAACACAATTTATTTGGATGGGGAAATGCTAAATCTTCACTGATAATGATACCAAATGTTTGCATCATGAACTGATCTCAATTGTTTTTCATTTATTTATTTGTTTGAGCACATATATATTGGTACAAAGGGGGCATCAAATACATATGAGCTACACAAGTCACTTGATTTGTGTGTGGGTTGTGATACTGCCTGAGTACCCAAAACGAAGCAGATGGTTTCCTTAAGAGGCCACTGCTAGAGCCTTCGACCTATAGGTTTGATCCAAAAGACAATGGAGCAACGTACGAAGATTCGGTTCCATGGTAGTCAATGACCATTAATTGGTTCACACGCCATTTGTTCCTTCAGGAGCCCGGAGTCTATGTGCATGATTGGTTAGGAATGAGGGTTTTCCAACTCCCCCAGGTGGACCCTCTGCGTCCACCAACCCAGTTAAAGCGCCGAAAATTCGCTTTTCACCCTCTCAACTTTTCAAACAACACCCGTAGTGCGAGAAGGCAGTGAGTAGGACTTCCCTGATAGTGGTTGTATACGCGTGAGCGTGTGAGAGCATTTTGAGAAGGAGAGCTGACTCTTCTCACTCTCGGTCGTACCTGGGCATTTTGGGGCAACTTTACCAGGGTAAATTGAATAACCATTGAAGAAAGTTATAAAGAAATAAACGGTTGTTTCCTCAGTAGTAAAGGTCTACGACCTCAGTAAACAGAATCGAATCCAGAACTTTCCATGTTGATAGTGAAATGTTTAGTGCTTCAGATTGTGGTGTAAATTTGGACACTGAATAATCTTCACAAGATACTTACACTTATTTGCCAAATTTGTTCATTCGTTGGTTATTTATAAGTAATCTATGTGAAATCTAGCATAGATTGTCCATTGATCCGATTCCCCACATTTCATTCATAAATGCAACGAGAAAGAGGAAATGAATTAAAGTTAGGAGGCTGAATTAGTATCATTGATAATGAATGTTCGATCCATGTTAGACCACCATCGAGAACCTGGAAGCACTGATGGTCTAATATTGATCGATTCATGATCTTAATCATAACTCAACAATCTCCACAATCCTATAGTGGTATTAAATATGTCCGATGTTAGGAATAGATGTATTAAAATGAATACATGTAATGAAAGTATATAACAAGTGTATAATTAATACGTACGAGATTTGATTACTGATATATCGATTTCCAGACCGTTACTTAATCCTCATGAATCTTCCATTGATTAACATTGAACAGAATACAGATTATGGAATAGCTAATGTAAGATTTACTTCAAAGATTGATTTGTGTAAGAAAAGATGAGAATATTTTCAGTATTCTTTGTGATCTAGTTACTCCAGAACCTTCAGAAATCTATATTGAACCGATAACAAAATCATTAGCACATTTGGAATAAGGAAAGTACAATCACTTATCTTCTAGATCCTTCTTGATAGTTTTTACATTAACATTAATTTGTCAAGGTATTTTACTGACTTCAGTAAGTTATCCTGAAGAATTGTCAAGGGTTTATAATGAATCGCTAAGTTTTAGAAAAGTATGAAGAATGAGAATGTTTACAATCTTACACACAACTCTACAGGTATTATCAGAAGGGGTTTTGTGGAGATTGTAGTAATTTCAGTGGTTAAGATCATGAGTCAGTTGAAGCTAGACCACCATGGAAAACCTGGAAGCACTGGACAATGATAGATGTGTCACTCAATTTCGTGGATTAGTTGAAGTTAGACATTAACACCGTTAGATGCCGGCTCAGTGGTCTAGTGCTCGCGCACGAAACCAGTAGGTCCTGGGTTCAAATCTCGCAGGGGGCGAGGTCGTGGATGCGCACTGCTGAGGAGTCCCGTAATAGGACGAAACGGCCGTCTAGTTCTTCTAGGTTTTCCATAGTGGTCTAGCTTCAACTGACTCATGATCTTAACCATTGAAATTACTATAATATCCACAAAACCCATCTGATATATATTATGCAATCATTGTTTCGAACAGATAGCTAGAGGATCGAATATGTGTTAGAGAGTATAACTGGAAAAAGATCAACTAGAAAGATTAAAAGGCGTGTTAGGAAATCTAGAAAAGGTTGTATTGCAATTTAAGTAAACTAGAGTATTGTCAGAAGTATACCAACAGTGTAAACTTGTTAGGTTTTCACATCTAACAAGGAGAGTTTTTCTTGTGGAATCTGATAATGAAGTCGGATTGATTTCAGAGAAAAACCCATATTTGTCCGATTTAATAATCTACAATACATCACGGAAATGATTGAATGATGACTGTGTTGTGAACAAGAATACAAATGGGGATAATCGGATGTAATTGAATACAAAATTACATTATCTCTTACTAGAATCTCAGAACTATACATTTATAGTGTGATGTCGAGTTGCGTTTGACAATGATCACCACTACAAGAAGACTACTTGCCAGTTAACCGATAAGATCGCCTTTAGGCCAAATATCAGAAGGTAGTTGATGGCTGTAGTCGAGATGTATTTGATGGCGATCTCGTGGTATCGAAAAAGTACCGAGATCGTGCCAGATTACAAGTGGGGTTACTGAGCGTAACCGAATTCGTACAATGTCACAGTCAACGGAAGAAAAGATGTCTTTGGTACAGTTAAACAAACAATTACAGTGAAACAATCACTGGTACAATTACTTATAATAGTAATTGTTTCCATTACACCAATCACGTCCTGTTAACAAAATTAGATCATCACATATTCATTACTTCATTTGTAAAATGTCAATCAATCGGCTAAAACTTTATTGTTCCATCTCTTCCACACCAATCATTCTTTGTTCCCGTTCTCTTTTCTTCGATCTTCTTAACCTTCTACCTCCAGACATTTCATTTCCTATTGATGATATATACTACTTGTATCTGTCGATATCAGTAGCACACATCACAGTTGCATTCATATCACGAATCGACTGAAGTTGGAAATATATACCACTAAATTTCAAGATGATCTGTACTTTCAACAAGCAATAAAAGTCAACTTCCAACCTTGTTATGGTGTACAAAATTTAACTATAATTTGATTTTTCCTGAATATACTTTGTACTGATGGTTCATATAAGTTGTATGTGATATTATCAGAAGGGGTTTTCTGGAGATTGTAGTAATTTCAATGATTAAGATCATGAGTCAGTTGAAGCTAGACCACCATGGAAAACCTGGAAGCACTGGACGGCCGTTTCGTCCTATTATGGGACTCCTCAGCAGTGCGCAATCTCCACAAAACACCTTTTGATAATAATCAACATATGCTCATTAGTGACTGGCTTCAAGAGGTATATCCTGGAGTTCTAGTGAGAAGTAGTGACCAGTGGAGTTCAAACCAGGTCTGTTGTGGGATAGAAACTCACTGAAGACAATGGTGGATGTGTCGCTCAATTTCGTGGATTAGTTAAAGTTAGACATTAACACCGTTGGATGCCAACTGGCTCAGTGGTCTAGTGGTTAAGTGCTCGCTCGCGAAACCAGTAGGTCCTGGGTTCGAATCTCGCAGGGGGCGAGGTCATGGATGTGCACTGCTGAGGAGTCCCATAATAGGACGGAACGGCCGTCCAGTGCTTCCAGGTTTTCCATGGTGGTCTAGCTTCAACTGACTCATGATCTTAATGTATGTGATATATTTATCACCTACTGATATCAGTTGGAGTAGAACTTAATATTCAGAATTTTCTGCATAACATTGCCATACTGACTTTTTCTATTAATAATATCAGATAATCATTATAATGTATTCCAAATTCCAGTAAGCAGTATGTAATATCATATATTAACCCATTAAGTAAATAGTTAGATGTTCGATACAAGACAATATATTTATTTATTTATTTATTTTAACACATAAGTATAGGTACAGGGAGGCACCAAAATACATATGCGCCACACGAAGCTCAATTGATTTGTGTGAGGGCTGTGATACTGCACGGGTGCCCAAACCGAAGCAGGTGGTTGTCTTAGGGGGCCACACTCCGAGCCTTTGACCTGAACGTCTGACCCACAAGGCAGTGGAGCATCGTGAGGAGATGCAGTCCCATGGTAGCCGGTGACCAACGATTGGTTCATACGCCATTTGTTCCCTCAGGATACTGGAGCCAGCCCATGTGCACCATTGGTTTGGGGTCCGGTTAAAGCGCCAGACATTCGCTTTTCGTCCTCTCATTTTTGTAAACAACACCCCCGCCACGAGAAGGCAGTGAGTAGTACTTCCCTGGCAGGGGCTATATACGCAAGGCCATGTGAGAGCATTTTGAGAGGTAGAGCGGACTCTCCCCACTCTCGGCCGTACCAGGGCATTTGGGGGCACAAGACAATATAGATACTGATTTTTTTTGGTTTTTCAAAGTTCATACTGAAGATGATTTCTGTGCCAGAAGAAAACTCCTATACAATTTTCATTTTATTTTTTATGGATAACCTTACTGATATAGGATACTACTAACAAATCTCTATTGTATATTTCATTAGTTATATTAATCAATTTATTATTTATAGCAATGGATTTAATCAGATCAGAAATTCCTGGAACATTTATTGTTCGTAATAGTGGAAGCTTTCCATATTCATTTGGTCTAGTAGTTAAAGTTCATAGACATCATACTCATGGTTAGTTTATTATTATCTATTATTCAATTAAATTTTCTTTTATTTATTGATTAAGAAAACTTGTTAGAAACTATAGAGTTTACATTCTGTAATTGATCAAGATAGAAAACTGTGATAAACATAGGAACTTATGCAATCGGATGAAATGTAAATCGATTTTGTAATGTTTGTTTGAATGTTCCCATTGATGTTTAGGACTACAATTGAACAGACTTTTATTGAAATATGTAGATCTTTTGTGAATTGCCTCGGTATTGCCTTAATTCACAAGCATTATAAGCAAAGATGGATGAATAGTTGGCTAACAGTGGAATACAGGATGTGTGTTTTGTCCTATTTGGGACTCGTCAGTTGTATGTACCTGAATCACGGAATTGATATTCACTCCGAGAATTGAACTCAATACCATACGCTTTAAAAGCCATCATGTTCTATGCTTAGCTACTGAGTTCTGATGGATAATAGAAAACACGTATTATTAATATAAATGTTTCTATACCATCCTTCTAGTAATTCTCCTCCATTCAAAATTTGAAAGTTTCTACAATTCATGTCTATGATTATCGATGTGGATTGTTATCATTGATAGCATATCATGTCTCCTCATTGCTATCTTATGTTATGTGTTAATGAATATGTCCGCTTTGTGCAATGTGATATTTCTCGCTAACGGTGCAATTCCATGAATAAATGACATCTTCATTTATCTTCATTCACTGTTACCTTACTTGCGTTGATTTCAAAGTGTTTCACAATGTTATTCTTCATGTATAGTAGAATAATCTTTCTTATAGTAAGCGGTTGAAGATGATCGGTAGAAAACTGTGGATTGAAGATTCGTGCTAATTGATACTTGTCAGCGGGGTTTTCGTGTCATATTGATGCTCCCTGGCGGATACTAATTCGTGTGGCCTAGCTTCACATTCTCAGAAATTATCATTGAGCTACTTGGGTAGCGAGTAACCTTACGTAAGACATAGATGTTTTGAGTTAGTTAATTACCAAGTGGTTCATACTTATCCAGTACCTCACAAATGATTGGACGGACCCAAGTAACATCAAGTTATTATACTGACTGAATGACTTGTAAATCATTGATTCGAGACAGTAGGTGCGGGTAAGTGAATGTATATCATTAAAGGGTTTTGAGTTAGAACGAAACAGTTGTATAGTACCTTCTACTCTCCATTGGTTCCCCTAAATACTCATCTAAAGAATTATCAATCAACATTCTTTTTATAAAGTAGCCATATTTGAATTCTAAGAGAAAAACACTTACACTATATCCACTACTGACTTATTTCGAGAGTGAGTCCCCTAAATCCTAAGGTGAAAGTCGTGACCAATAAAAGATCGACCATGGCGAGTCTAAAATAATTACTCATCAGTGGCATTGAAAGTTATCTACACAATATAACCAGTTGATTGAAGTTAAACATGGAAATTATTGAATGTTGTCTCATTTATCTAATGCTTAAACGCTCACTGCGTCAACACGTGAACTAAGGATAGGGAGAGAAGTAGTCGAACGCGTTGACAACTTCACTTATCTTGGAAGTCTGATCAGCCCTAATAGGTTGGTGTCTAACGAAATCTCAGCACGGATTCGAAAGGCTCGTTTGGCCTTTGCCAACTTACATCATCTATGGCGAAGGCGAGATATCCGTCTATCAATTAAGGGACGAGTACACTGTACGGCAGTTCGTTCCGTCCTACTATACGACTGCGAAACATGGCCTTTGAGAGTAGAAGATATTCGTAAGTTATTAGTATTTTACCACATGTGTCTTAGAAATATTGCTCGCTTCTGCTGGGATCACCGGGTAAGTAATAGTGAGGTTAGACGCAGGGTACTAGGGAATGATGGTAAATCAGTTGATAAGGTTGTGAATCTTCATCGACTGACATGGTTAGGCCACGTGTTACGTATGCCTGAACATCGATTACCACGACGCGCAATGCTAACCGGTGTTGGGGATAATTGGAAGAAAGTTAGGGGCGGCCAAACCAAAACGTGGCATCAGTGCTCGAAAACACTAACTTCTGGTTTGAGCCATGTTGGTAGATGCGGACTACCTGGTTGGGGTTCGCGTGACTATCGTAATCAATGTTTGGAGACTCTGAGTGACATGGTTTAGAATCGATCACAATGGCGTAGGTGTATGCACTCTTTGTCTTCCCTCAAACTATGAGATTAAAATCGCTTCATATCTTTCTTTCTACGAACTAATTCTTTCTTCCTGTACTGTCTCCTTATATGCAATCATTGTTTTATATATATTACTACCATTGAATTAACTACTTCTATAAATCCGTTGCTCTTGTTGTGCTAACGGAGTATGGCAACTTGGACCGATGCATATATGCGCCTGGTCCTACGTTGCAGCTGACTGACTGACTGAATGATATTGCTGAACCGATAGTCCTGAGTTTGATCCTAGTATGATCCTGTTTGAGCACTGTTGGAGCATACTATACTAAGTCAATATAGCTGTTCAGTGCTCCTTTGGTTTTCAGTAATTGTTTCATTAACTTCAGGTCATAATGTAAACTATATATTATAATAATGTTACCTGTTATAACACTATTCTGTTTTATGCTATTCATTCATATATATTGGTTAATATGTATACCTAATCTTACTCTATTTTGTTTTGTATTTCATATAGGTGAAGAATCTGATTCTATAAGACATTATTTAATTGAAGGTTTACAATCTACAATATCAACTGTATATCATGCAATTGGTGTATCTGGAACATTATTACCTCCATCTAATATACCAATGGATTCATCAGCTTTAAGTGTAATTCATGAACCTGTACGACTTCGTGGATCTTCAAATGAACCAATATTTACTAATTTAGTTAGTTTATTATATGAACATACAATTCAACCATTAGCATTACCATGTATATTAAGATTACCATTTAAATTGCCTACTTCAATTAATAGTCTTCCTTCTTTAATAGTATTAACAAGAAATTCACATTCTGATCATATATCACCAACTTCAATAGTACCAAAATATTCTTCACAAGTTGGATCTTATCATACAGGTATGTTTACTTATTATTATTAATAGTTATATAATTATCAGAAAGGGGGGGGTTGTGTAGATTGTAGTAATTTAATAGTTGAATTCATGAGTCAATTGAAAGTAGATCACTATGGAAAATATGAAAGCAACAGACGGCCGATTCGTTGTAGTATGCGACTTCTCAGGATTTGCACATCCATGATCCCGCCTTGTGAGATATCCTCACTAGTGACTGGTTTCAAGATGTTTTAGTGAGAAGCAGTGACCAGTGGAAATCAACCAGGTCTGTTATGAGATAGTAACTCACTGAAGACAATGGTAGATATATCGCTCAATTTTGTGGATTAGTTGAAGTTAGACATTAACACTGTTGAATGCCAGCGAGCTCAGTGGTCTAGTGGTTAAGGGCTTATGAGCAAGACTGATAGCTGCTGTGTTCGAATCTCGCGAGACATGATCGTGAATGTGCACTGCTGAAAAGTCTTACACTAGGACGAAACAGCCATTCAGTGCTTCTAGGTTTTCCATAGTGATCTAGCTTCAATTGGTTCATGAATTCAACTATTAAAAAACTCATTAATTTCAATCCTTCTTAAATAACAATCATGGGAATATTCAAACTTTTACAACTGACTGATATTAAGATGTATCTTTCAAGATATTTACCTAATCAATACTAGTAGTTCCCAAGTAGTTGTGTATCCATTAAAATCCATCAATATTCTGTATAAACATGTTGAATCTTGTGAAAACAAATTGATTTTTAAACAATTGGTTCTTAATACATTCAATAAACAAGAATTTGCTTTTTAACTAAGAAGATAAACTAATTCAATAAAGTGTATGTTAAGTTGTACTATACTCTGTCTAAACTTCTATTTAAGATTTTATAAAGATTGAAATAAATGAATTGATAACCAACTTCAAACCAATTGTAAGTCAAGAAGCATTGAACAAGTCATCAATATTGATTTGTGATTGTATATCTGGGAAAAAACTTTTAGAACTCATTATTCTATAATGATCATAATAGATGAAGACTAGTTTAATGGCCTAAGATCTGACATTAAGTAGATTATTATCAAGATTTGTATGTAATCATTGACTTCAATCATATTAGTGATTAATGGAATGAATGAACTCAAATAAGAGAATAGAGTTTGAATATGTATACTTCATACATTCGGTGATCTGGTTAGATAATCGGAGATCATGAGTCAGTTGAAGGTAGACCACCATGGAAAACCTGGAAGCACTGGACGGCCGTTCCGTCCTATTATGGGACTCCTCAGCAGTGCACATCCACGACCTCGCCCCCCGCGAGATTCGAACCCAGGACCTACTGGCTTCGCGCGCGAGCACTCAACCACTAGACCACTGAGCCGGCATGATCTTAATCGATGAAATTACTACAATCTCCACAAAACCCCTTCTGATACTAATCAACATATGCTCACTAGTGACTGGCTTCAAGAGGTATATCCTGGAGTTCTAGTGAGAAGTAGTGACCAGTGGAGTTCAAACCAGGTCTGTTGTGGGATAGAAACTCACTGAAGACAATGGTGGATGTGTCGCTCAATTTCGTGGATTAGTTGAAGTTAGACATTAACACCGTTGGATGCCAACTGGCTCAGTGGTCTAGTGGTTGAGAGCTCGCGCGCGAAACCAGTAGGTCCTGGGTTCGAATCTCGCAGGGGGCGAGGTCGTGGATGTGCACTGCTGAGGAGTCCCATAATAGGACGGAACGGCCGTCCAGTGCTTCCAGGTTTTCCATGGTGGTCTAGCTTCAACTGACTCATGATCTTAATCAATGAAATTACTACAATCTCCACAAAACCCCTTCTGATAATATGAATCTTATCAGTCATAACATGGAAAAGCTAGTTATCAATTTCTACTATGTAAATAAATCAATAATAGACTTGTTGGCAGTATTGTAAAATACCGAAGAAATCAGTCATTGTTTCGTATTTTCAGAAGTCATAAACAATTCAATATAATTGAGATTATGAATCGAACAATGTTAGAACACCATTGAAAACCTGGAAGCACTGAACTACTGTTTTGTTCTAGTATGGGACTCCTTTTCAGTGCTCATTCACAATCCTATATGAGCTACCCGAACCCAGGATCTTCGGTCTCACGCGTGAACTCTTAACCTTTAAGTCACTGATCTATCATTTATCGTTCCCAATGTCTAACTTCAATCAATCCAGGGTATTAGCATTGTTTTCACTTAGTACGATTGAACTCCACCACTGAGGAGTCCCATGCTTCCAGGTTTTCAATGGTCTACTGACATTGACCGTTTCATGATCTCAAATAAAACTCAACAATCTCCACAACCCTATACTGATGATTCAGTATAACAAGTATGTTTAAACAACAGAGACATTATCAATGTACACATGTTTGAAACTTACTAGATAGGATCTTTCTCTGGAAGGTCTGAGTCATCTTTATTTATCATCACTGATGTCGATTTCTCGCTGATTTTAACTGAATTCATAAATGATGTCACGCAGACATGAAATTTGTCCTCGAGTTATGTTAATTTATTTAAATATATATCTGATAGTAGTATATTTTTTACATATATGTAGGCTGTGAAAGTCCTCATGACTTTCATAGAACGGACAGATCCCAAGGAGTTTCAATAAGACATCCTACAGAATCTGTAACAACTGACTTAGTATCATATGAAATGGAATCATCATATAATCCAATACAACAACATCAACAGTCAGGAACACATCCCTCACAACCGAGTATACATCATTCAACTAGACAAGATTCTTTTCTTACACCGTTTAGTGGTACCAAGTCTAGATCGAATAGATCTCCTCCTGCTGTGTATGAAGGTGAACTAGGACCGATAGGTCCTCCAGATCCAGGAAGAAGTGAGTATATTTATATTAATATTTAACAGATAACAATTTGTCTATTGTAAAATTTCTTTTCAATATCTTCTACAATAAAACAATTATCAGTAGTTACATGAGTAGTATTATTAGTAGTATGAGTATAGAAATAAACTAATCGTTTGTGTTTACATAGTTCTTTTTAAGAGTGTTCTTACTATTGAATGTTTCCATGATACCCTTCTCTATCTTTCTTCCCTCTGAACATGTTGGAATAGAAATAAATGTCATCGACAATCTTGACCATCTGTTGTTATTGTTGATGTGACAGTAACTGGGTTTGTTTTGTTTTTTTTATAAAAAAAACTCATGTTTACAAAGCGAAGAAATAGATTTTTTTTTTCATGTAAACCCAAGTATTTACATTTCAAAATGTTATTTTTCTAAGATCAATGAGTTGATAAACAAAGATGGATAGTGGTTAGAAGTAGGAACCAGAATGTGCGTTTCGCCCTATTTGGTACTTTTCAGGTGAATGTACCTGTATCTTAGTGTGGATGTTCACTTTAGGACTCGAACTCAGCACTGTGAATTTAAACTTCACTTCATTGCACAAAAAAAGAGGCTATCAGAATTTAGTAGCTAAATGGATAACGCAATGTCGTTTGAAGCGAACGGTACTGGGTTCGGGTCCCAGAATGAACATCAACTGTGAGATGCAAGTACATCCAGCTGACGAGTACCATAAGGGAAGGAACACGCTTCCTGGACTCCACTATTAGTCATTATTCATCTTTCCTTAAAAACACTTGTAACTTAAGGCTATATCCAAGTGATCCGCACAGGTTTCACCTATCCCAACTAGAGACTGATCAATTTCAGTCCTACATAACAATACCCAGTGAACATAAATTATCTTACTTTGTATATGTGATAAGTCTACTACTCAAATACATGATAATCACTTCCTAATCGCTTCTTAGATCCGCAGAATTCCCCGACATAAACATTTTGAATAGAAAAGAAAGAACACAAACTGTTTATAGAAGCTTTGTTCGAAGGTTAATCAGTCTACAGGAAACATGTGTATTGATAGGTTGATTGGCAACGTTTATTCTCTGGAAAGTTCTAGAGACATTCTAAGTTTGGTAACAGTAACTCATCATGTAATCAGAGTATAACATATAACTTGAATTTTCTAGAAGTTTGTAACGCATATGGTGGCTGGATGAAGGATTTCTGAGTCGACTAGATCATTCAGTCATTAAGTTGAGTAAACATTTGGATAGTCACCACTAGTGTCTTTCTCTGACATGGATTCCAAGAAGGTCTAGTTAAATACAGTATGAAGTAGAACATTGTCTATATCAAAAGTAAAATGAATATCACAAGTAACATTGGATTATGAATCTCTGGTCTGTAAGGATTTGAATGGTTTCAGGTAGAATTCCGTTTGTGAGAGAAGTTTCTTCGTCTTTATTCCTGAGATATCTTCATATAAGTCGATCAACGTCTCCAACTGTTGATTTTGGTTATCGTGATAATCCCGACTAGATAATCTGCATTTAGCAGTTTAATCCAGTTCAATAATCAATTGCATTATGTACGGACCCCATGTTTAAGTTGAGCCTAACCTAGTTTTCTATTACTTTACCCCTACTTCCTCCAGTATTGCACCTTGAGGGAAGAATCAGCTGAATATATGGATCATGTGTCCCAGGGATCTCTATTGGATAAGATTCATAGTGTCATCAACAGACTTTTCATCCCAACCTCGGGATTCTTTAATTAAGACGACAAACATGTGTCTAGTACTACTTGTCATACACAAATTCTCGAAAACTATCAATTTGTAGTTGAAATGAAATCTTCACGAAACTCCCATAATTAAAAAATTCCAGGAAAGAAAGTATTGTGGGCATCCACGACCCCACCTCGCGAGATTCGAACCCAGGACCTACCGGTCTCGCGTGCAAGTGCTTAACCACTAGACCACTGGGTTCGAAACTCGCGAGTCGAGGTCGTGGATACGCACTGCTGAGGAGTCCTACAATAGGACGAAACGGTCATCCAGTGCTTCCAGGTTTTTCATGATGGTCTAGCTTCAATTGACTTATGATCTAAACCATTGAATTTACCATAATATCCACAAAAGCCCTTCTCTGATTATAAAAAAAGTATCGTAACTCCCTACGAATAAATTCATCACAACAGTTACTGAATAAGTCAGTCATGAAATTTGTCATTCTCCCTTTCTCTCAAAGTAAATGTAAAATTCTAAGCCAATTACTTTTTATATTCACTTGGTGTTGTTTACTTGAATCTTCCTATTGTTATTTAGGACTGCAATTGATCAATCTCTTGTTGACATATGTACATCCTATGCGTCACAAGCTTTATAAGCAAAGATGGATGGTGACTAGCAGTGAAATCCAGGATAAGCGCTTCATTCTATTTGGGACTCCATCACGGAGTTGATGTTCACTCTGGGACTCGAACCCAGAATCCTATCAGAACTCAGTAACTAAATGGGTAACTCGGTAGCGTTTGAATAGAACAGTACTGGATTTGAGTGCCAAAGTGAACACCAACTTGAATGCAGATATATCCAACGGATAAGTTGAAAACAGGACTAAATGTGCATCCTGGATTCTACTACTACCCACTTTCCATCTTTACCTATAAAGCATTTACTTTCAGTTATTTACATTCTGTATATATTGAATTTCCATTTTTTTTAATTTTTCAAGAACTGTCTTACTATCTTTCATTTCCATGGTGATTAAAGATCACATACTGATGATACTATTGACTGTAAAAGTTGAGGAATTGAATTTAAATCCTACTTAATGTATCAGTGTTTCCATAAGATTACAATCATTCTTCATCACTAGCGTATATTAACTTGTACACAAATTAGTGGCTATTTGCATTCAGAAACTTAAAGGATAACACGTTAGATATCTGAAACGTAAGGTATAAGGTTCGAGTCTCGATGTGAAAACTAACCTAGATACATCCAACTGATGTGTTGTAAATAAGACGAAACTATGCAGATCCTAGATTTCTCTACTAGCCTCCATATATCTTTACTTGAAATAGCGATGATGAAGCAATCAGATCAATTGATCAGAACTCAATCCTTATCATCAAGATTGAAACACTTACAAATATATAATAAGATATTCATCGAGACTATCATTTATGGATGAACCAATCAGGTGTATAAGATAACAGGTCTTGGAATTCAGAGCGAAATTCATTCAGCCATATGGCTAAATAGAGTTTTCGGCATTATAGCTGATATCAGTTCGTAATGAAAATTTAACCTTAACCATCAATTGTAAATCAGAATTGTAATTCCTCATATTGGTTTCTAACCCTTATTTGGTCCTAATCATTAGGTGGACACTCTCAAGGTCAGTTTAGTATCACTCAAAGGTCGTTGTTATAGATATTTTCACATATGTCTATTTTATCCAATTTGAAGAGCCTGAAATCTACTTTTGTTTTTTTTTTCTGTTTTTTTTCGGGGGGGGGCTGTATTTTATACAGCATTTACATCGATTTATTTAGGAAGTATTGACACTGAGAATCTTACAGGTTCTTCAGCAATTCGTAAAGCAGTTGATGTCCTTTTAGAAAATGCAGCTCAGGTAATGTTTTGTTTCATGTATTATTATTATTATTATTAATGACTTTATTCAGTAGTATACGCTTGATACAAGATAGAATTCCAGCAAGTTTCCATTTCTTATTTGTTGATTGATTCTGACTAGATCAGCATAGAGTGATCACCAGTTAGATATTAGCAGTTCAAGAATTAACATCTGAATAGTGATCATTATACTGACAGCCACTATGATGTCTCTGATTGGGTTCTTCTGTAACTTGTACATGGAAAAGTTGTACACTTTCCAGAAACTCACCTGAATAGGTTATGTGATTAATATATATAATGATGTGTCAAAATAAACATAAAAGAAAGGGAGTTAACTTTTTGAAATATCTAGATAACAGGAACAGGTTGTCTAGATATTCAAGCAATCAGTCAGTCAGCTATAACGTAGGACTAGGCACATATATGCATCGGTCCAAGTTGCCATACCTCATTAGCAAAACAAGAGGAACACCGAATTCATAGAAGTTGTAGTGGTAATATATAAAGAAAAGATTGCATATGAGGACATAGTACAGGAAGGAAGAATTAGTTCGTAGCAAGAAAGATATGAAGTGATTTTAATCTCATAGTTTGAGGGAAGACAAAGAGTGTATACACCGACGCCATCGTGATCGATTCTAAACGATGTCACACAGAGTCTCTTCATCTACCAACGTGGTTCAGACTAGAAGTTAGTGACATCAAGTACTGATGCCACGTTTTGGTTTGGCCGCCCCTTACTTTCTTCCAATCATCCCAAACACTAGTCAGCATTGCGCGTCGTGATAATCATGTTCAGGTATACGCAACACGTGGCCTAACTGTCTCATTCTAGAATACCTGACCGAACTTCGACCATGCTCTTATACGGGCACACATCTGCTTGCACCTCACTGGACGCAAAAAAATCACACTAAAAAGACCCATTAGAACTGAATTGAGTAATGAGAAAACCAAAAGTAGGTTCCACGAACAACTAAGGTCACACTTAAGTAGTTCTGAAAACGAGGCTGACCCAGATGTTGCTTAGAAAGATATACAAAACGCTGTGGAATCAGCAGTGACATATATTACTGATTTAAACCAATGGATTTCTTCAAGGTCTATTGCACTGATGGCTTCGCTTAAACTCATCCCATCAGGATCTGAACACGATGAAGAGCGGAAACAAATCACATCTAGGTTAAGCAAAAGTCTGAGGAACGACCGTGAGCAGTGATGGGCAACGAAAGCAAAAGAGATGTAAAAGGCGGTGGCTGTAGGTAACGCAAGAAAGCTCCACAGACTACTAAAAGAAACTGGATTTAATAAGTTATGTGTAAGTGAGACTATTTTGGAAAAAGACGACATTCTCATCTGCTCTCAGTCTAGTATTTTCTGTTATTGTTACTGACACTGTTACTATTTCCACGATGCTGGGAGTTATCTCTATACTTTTTTTGATATACTAACTCGGTACAGGAACTTGGACTGATGCAGATTCGTATCAATTTCGTATAACTAATTGACTAGATAAAGATGATCATGAAATTTCGATAACTGACTTTAATCAATAAGAAGAAGTAGGATTAGGATTTAGAGTTTAAAGTTGAGGTTTAGGAACTAAAGTTAAGGTTTTCATCACGAACTGACATTAGTTAATTTAACCATATGGATGAATGGATCTCGCTACGGAATCCAAGATCCACTATCTTAAGTCTGATTGATTCGTCCACAAATTATGATCTTGTCCTTGTCAATGATTAAACAATCTTTAATTGAATCGGTTATCTGTAACATTGATTAGACTGTTGGATGAGTGATCACAATTAATTTAAAGAGATGGTGGTCTAACATCAATCAGTTCATGATATCAATCAAAAACTTAATAATCTCCACAACCCTATACTGATAATTACAATGTGCTCACTAGTGACTAGCTTCATGAGAGAATTCTCTGAGTTCTAGTAAGAAGCCGTGACTTGTGGAGCTAATCCATACCGGATAGAGACAGTTATCTACCTCAGCACAATGGAAGATGGTCACGCAATTTCGTGGACTGGTTGAGGTTAGACATTGACACCGTTGGATGACAACTCAGTGGTCTAGAGCTTAAGCGTTCGCGTGCGAGACAAATAGGTCCTCGGTTCGAGTCCCTCCGGGGTCGTGAATGTACACTGCTGAGGAGTCTCACAATTGGACAAAATAGCCATCTAGTGCTTCCAGGTTTTCAACGGTGGTCTAATATCAATCGGTTCATGATCTCAATCAAAAAGAATTCATGTATCGTATCGGTTCACAGATAGATTATTAGGTCATTCAGTTGTATGCAACGTAGAAACGTGTCACATATGATACATTGGTTTAAGTTGCCATATCTTATCAGCATAGAATGATGATATCAAAGCAGTTGAAGTGTAGCAGCATCAAAGATCACAGAAACGATTAGACATAGATAATATGATGAATCTGTAAGATAAACTGCATGTGAATACAGGGTCTTATAGAAAATCACTTAAATTTCATGATCAATGATCAAACATGAATTCCTTCATAAGTAAACAACATGATGAATGATAGATAGTGTTTAGAAAACTACAATTCATGTTCAAGAAGGCATTCATTTCTGTACATGACAATTGTTGAAATTAGATCTAATATTCTTCAATATGACCATTCTTCATTAATTGAGGTTACAGTAGAAAATATTGAAAATCATGCATTATTTATTAAATGTTTCATTCCCCAACCGTTAACACTCACCATACGAGTTTTTCAATTTCCCCCCCCCCTACTTTTCAATCCTACTATCGTCAAAATGAATGATATCCTAGGAACCTCCTTGTGAAATGTAGTTGTTCTATTTATACTACTTATGAGTAATAAAGATTTACTGTAGGATGTTTTAGTTGTCTCTTTTAAGTTGGCTTAAACTGGATTCACTTATCATTCAGCTGTATTAAATTTATCTTTCCTATCTTTGTCTATTGACTATTGTTTCTGGACCTACCATCTTGTATGTAGGTCCGAAACCGGAACTTAAGAGTGAGATAGAACAGAACTGGTTGATGTGATATGGAAAAATATTCTCAAATGAAATTGATCTCCATAAGTATAATCTAAATAGTGATCAACTTCCAGGTGATTTTGTGAATAGTTAGTAGGAATTCGCGATTGGTTGAGTTTATGCATTATGGAAATATGACACTTTTCATCAACACTATTGGATAACAGTCACACTATCTCTAAAATTAACTGAGACTGAACATCTGAAGTATTGGATCTAAACTCAGTGGTGGTGTACAAGTTAAACCACTTGTTATACCTTGTGACCTTGTGTCTAATCAATATGTAACGTAATGATACCGTGATTTAGAGAACAGTGAATTATCGACCGGATCAATAACGCATAAAACCTGTGCGAATAGTCTAGAGTCCTTATCGGTCGTTCTCCCTGAATAGCCCTGCTTGCCCGTTGAGTCCAAAACATCAATCTTAGCTTCTGTGATAGGAATCGCATATGTCAAATATACTGGGTATATATACAAATCAAACAGACCACATCGTACCATAAAATAGAAAGCACACATTTATACAAGATTTGGCCGAATATGACTGTGAATGTAAGAGACTGTAATGAATAGACTGAGGAATAACTCAAGACCGGTAAAAACGGTCTATAGGTCAAAATAAAACTTATAATAAAACGAATATGAATATGCATAGTTTAGTTACTCAATAGATATATAATAAGAATATATCTATAATATTAGTCTATAGATAGATCCCAAAGGTTACCATCCACTATTCTCGTCGGGATATAACACCTCTTACTGCAAGATCTGAATGTCTTGAATTAAGTCCACACCAGGACATTAGTCACATACTGCTAAGGATTTTCAACTAGGTTGAATCACTCCATAGTCATTCCAAAGTCATTATACATTATCTTGTTAAGAATTGAGAAAATGATGAATAGATTTATAATTAGTATTGTTTATTATTAATAAAATAGGTTAGACAAACAGAAGTAACAATACGTGTTTCACAAGATGGATTAACAGTGACAGATAATTGGAGAAAATTATTTTTTCGACGAAATTATCCATTTCATTCTGTATCATTTTGTTCAATTGATCCTTGTCAAAGATGGTAAGTGTGTGTGTGTGTGTAGTGTAGTGTAGTTTCTTTTTCAAAGTGTAGGTCCTTCTTAGTGTTGATCGAATCCTATCGACCAAGTTGCTATGTGGCTACTAGTCTAAGTGATTCAACATTTCACTAAGAAAGACCTGACATACATGACATTGATCACCACCTAATGGTCAATTAATTGTAAATACATCGCATTCCTACAGGAGGTCGGTCGCGGCCCGGATAGATTAATGATGACGTTTGTGACTGTGAAGCTGGATAACACAGAGTCGAATCTATTAATGCCTATAGTTATTCGAATGAATCTATATAAATGATAAGATACTGTATTTTTTACGACTGTTCTGTATCTATGGATATGTAGATGAAAGTAACGTTCACTCTATTCAATATTAGTGCTTCTCTTAGTTAGTACAATGAGCGTTATGGATGAGTTGTTGTATTCCTCAGATTGCATAGAATGGAACGAAATGCTTATGATGATTTATAAGAGACATTAATTCCAAAGGGTCTTGAAATCCTTGCAGTAATTTCTAAAATCGAATACATCAATGATCAAGCTTATTTATTCCTGCTTCATATAAAAACATACTATACTGTTCCGAGGTCGTCTGAGTCTGTGCTAACGTTTATACTCTCTTGAGTGAGAAAATGAAGAATAATTGGCTGATTGCATCGAAAATGTATGGAAAACACATAAATAAATATTGGTACATATCCCTTAACGAATTATACGGTATTTTCAACCTGTGGTTGATGCCTGTTTTCTCAAAAAGTTAGGCTAAATCCTTACCTATAGCGTATACCCATTAGCATCTTTCATTTATCATTTGGTTCAAAGTATTACCTTTGCTTTAGGATAATTAGAGAATCCAATGATTGGTGGAGCCTAGACGGCTGTTTTGTTAACCTGGAAGCACTGGACGACCGTTTCTTCCTGTTGTTGTAGTCCTCAACAGTACGCATCCACAACCGGACTCGCGGGATTCGAACCCAGGGCCTTTGGTTTCGCGCGCTAACGCGGAAATTTATCAGTGTTCCGCTACCGTTGAGCTGTGGGGATGTTCTCTTGAAGCCATTCACAAACACACAGTGGAAGTAATAGTTGTTAGATTGTTTAATAAGGATTGTACTCTTGAACACAGTGTTCACAGACAACGTTATCTGATCTCTCTTTTTAAGAGAAAAAATGTGACATAACTGAGGAGAATCCCTAACTATTATGAAATTCATTATCCAACCATCAGTACAACTACAACTTAAAATCTTCATTATAATTCAACTCGAAATTCAACCAATTCGTTAAAGTAATATTGGGAAATTAGGTTAAAGTCCACTCTTTCCCCCTCACACACACACACACACTGCATTGAAATCATTATTGTTATATCAAGAACTAATTCATCACACGAGCTCGAACTGTATTCCTCGAAAAACTCTCCTCTCTCTCTTTCTCTGTCCTAATTTACTCATTTCTTTAATAGTTGAATTCATGAATCAGTTGAAGCTAGACCAGAATGGAAAACCTGGAATCACTAGACGGTCATTTCGTCCTAGTATGGGACTCCTCAGCAGTATGCATCTACAATCCCGCCTCGCGAGATTCGAACCCAGGACCTATCATTCTCGCGCGCGAGCGCCTAACCACTAAATTACTAAGCCGGCATCTGATGGTGTTAATGTCTAACTTCAACTAATCGAAGAAGTTGCTCCACAATCCACCATTGTCATCAGTGAGTTACTGCTGAGGAGTCCCATACTATAGGACCAAATGGTCGTCTAGTGCTTCCAGGTTCCCCATGGTTGTCTAGCTTCAATTAACTCATGATTTCAACTATTAAAGTGACTATAATATCCACAACCCCCCCCTATGATTACTCATTTCTCTATGTGAAACACACGCTGATCAATCAATCATAAACGTTTATTTATTTATAAACAAGCAAAAACTAATCGTTTATTATATGAATCAATATTTTCTTTGTTTTATAGTTGGGAATCACCTGAACTCAGATCAATGGGCTTCAAATCCTCATTGTAAGTTATATACATAAATATTACATAATATTCATATTCAACAAATGGTATCTACTTAGTCCTGTTATCTCTTGTAGAGGAACAAAGGCCACTCACCAACATTTACATCCAACCCTGTCCTGGGTAGTCGTTTCTAGTTGTTTCTAGTTGCCATTTATCCATTTCATATCTGTTTCTAATTATCAACATAGTGTGTTCTTTGGCCTTCCTCTCTTCCGTTTCCCTTCAGGATTCCAAGTTGGCGTTTGTCTTGTGATCCATTTCTAACGTCTTTTAAAAATTTCCTCTTCAGCTGGTTGGTTCTCTTTCCCAGTAGGTTTTCGCTAATGGTATTCAGTCAACGGACAACTGTTTATAAAGATGTGAACCTTTTTTGATGATAGTTGTGGTAGTTTCTCAAGTTTCAGCTTCGTACAGCAGGACTATCTTGGCATTCGCATTGAAGAATCTGATTTTGATGTTGGTTGACATTTGTTTTGAGTTCCATATATTCTTCAATTGCATAAATGTTTTCTCTACTTTTCCAACTCTTGCCTTCACATCTGCATCAAATCCTCTTTGTTCATCGATGATTCTGTCTATATATGTGAAAGTTTCTACATCTTCCACAGTTTCTTCATCAAGTGTGTTTGGGTTGATGCTTTCCATGTTGTATTTGAGGACCTTGCTTTTTCCTTTTTGTATGTTGTGGCCTACTGATACAGAGACTGCTGCTACACTATCTGTTTTGACCTGAATTTGTTAGTGTGTATTGGATAGAAGAGCCAGGTTCAAATCTTCAAATTGATTTCAAGCTGTCCATTGTATTCCGTGTTTCCTCTCATAAGTAGAGGTCTTCATAATGTAGTCAACCACCAGAAGAAAGAGAAAGATGGAGTGTAAGAAGCCTTGTCTGACTCCAGTCCTCATTTAGAATGTATCTATCTCCTGTCCTCCACACTGTATAGTCCTTCGTATGAATTTCATATGATATTGATGATCTTCTCAGGTTCATCATAATGTCAAAGAAGTTTCCATAAAGTTCTTCTATTCATACTGTCAATTACTTTATCCATAGTCAATGAAGTTAATGAATACTTATTGATTCATACAAATACTTTCAATCTTCAACTTATCTTATATTAAAGAACATGAGAACAATCAAACTACTCAATATGTATTTGTCTTTTTTTCAATGAACCAGATTGGATAACTTGAAACTCACATGATCATAGGTATCACTCAACAAGATTATAATGTGCACCATTAAGAAATTATAATCTATTGTATAATTAGGTCATTTATTGGATAGAACTAAATGACAAATACATATAATGAATGAAGTATTATATATATGAACCATTAACATTATTGATCAACAGTTACTTGGTTAGTGTTTTTTTTTGAGCGAGTTAGTTTTCTACAGGATGGAGTCGCTAACTCCATACTTAACCCACCTCGTTTATCCGAACATGAAGTCGGCAGTAGCTCAAGAAAGTCTTCAGGAGGAGTTAGATCAATAATTAATAACTTATAATTAAGTTAAATATAGAACAATCATTAACACAGAGAGTATATTTAAGAATTGCACAACAAATATATAGATGTTATTTAACTATAGAATATAGTTCTTCAGATTATCATTAAAAACTGTATTTCAAGCCGGACGGACGGTTGGGATCGTGGATGTGCGCTGTCATTGGGAAATCTAATACTAGGATGAAACAGCTGCCCAGTGCTTCCAGGTTCTCCATGGTAGTCTAGGTTCAATTAACTCATGATTTCAACGATTGAAATTGCTATAATATGCACATAAAAACTCCATTCAAATATATGAATGATATTTAACCATAGAATATAGTTATTCAGATTATCATTATAGTGTACTTCAAGTCTAACACTTATGAATCCTAGACTGACATCACAAAAAAGTGTTCAAAACTTTGATTTTGTCAGCTAATTAAAGTACTAAATAACATAAAGGGTTTTTGTGGAGATTTTACTGATTTCAACAGTTGAGATCATTAGTCAATTAAAGATAGACCACCATTGGAAAGCTGGAAGCATTGGACGGCCGTTTTATTCTAGTATGGGACACCTCAGCAGTATGCATTCACAATCCAACCTCGTGAGATTCGAAACCAGGACCTGTCAGTCTCGCACGCGAGCGCTTAACCATTAGACCACTGAGCCGGTATCTGGTGGTGTTAATGTCTAACTTCAACCAATCCACGAAATTATGCCATCGTCAACCATTGTCTTCAGTGAGCTAATATCTCAAAACGGACCTGTTTGAACTCCGTCAGTTGCCAACTCAATAGTCTAGTGGTTAGGAGCTCGTGAATGAGACCGATAGGTCTTGTGTTCGAATCTCGCGGAGGAAGCGGGATCGTGATTGTGCACTATCACTGAGAAGTCCCATACTAGAACGAAACGGCCATCCAGTGCTTTCAAGTTTTCCATAATAGTCTAGCTTTAATTGACTCATGATTTCAACTATTGAAATTAATAAAGAACAGTTCAAAAGTGATCTTAGACATATGAAACACTTCATGTCATAATCATCATTATCTTAAGAATTATCAACTATTTCATATACTAAATGTGTTACATAACGTAACTATATCTAAACTATATAAAGCATATAGATGAATCAATATAATATTGAAATGTAATTTCAAGATGATAGAGGATAGTTCAAATGATTATGTTGATTATGAACAGTATCCTTTGTAATATCAATGCCAAATGTATTAATAATATTATTTAAAAAGAAAGGAGCTCCTTTGCAAGATCATCATTTATAGGATTGTAGTGAGGAAATGTTGTCAGTCAGTCAGTGGTCTTGAGTGCTGTTAGAGGTATGAGGGCGGTTATCACTTCCCGGTTGCCCACACCGTGGAAGGGTTCTGCTGGAGGTACCTGAAAAGGAAATTGGATTAGAGTTGGTCATAGTGACCTGAGAGCGTGACCGCAGTGCCCAAGGGACAGCTGCTTGAGGTCGGTCACACACGACCTTTTTATGAGTGATTTTTGTGTTAGCTCCGTACTTGTTGAGTCCTTACCGATGGAGACGGATATCCGTGGGATAAGGTGAGGTGTGCATTTTTAGGGTCGACCTTTTCTAACCCCACCCCTCCTTGTGGGAAGGCAGCATCGCTGTCATGCTGGTTGTCTGAAGGAAACACCTTACTGCTGTCACACCTCTGTACAGTCAGCAGTACGACTTCGCCTTCGGACCTTGGTTGTAGTTAGCATAAGTGTTTACTGTTAAGCTTAATTCATACAAACCATGTTGTGAAAATCTGTGTATGGTACACAAGTGATTTTTACTGATGTGAGAGCATTTTTAGACATACATGGATGAGTAGGGTTGTTTTGAATTCATATTACATGGATCTTTCCACTAACCATGAAAAAGCATAAACCATGTTAGATTATTATATACATTTAAACTCAAATATTCTATTTCTTTTATTTGATGATTTGAGTACATAAATATTGGTACCAAGGAGCAACGAATACATATACGTTACACAAGTCATTTGATTTGTGTGTAGGCTGTGTTACTATCTGGGTGTACAAATCGAAGCAAGTGGTCCTCTTAGAGGGTTGCATCCAAAGCCTTTAACCTAGAGGTGTAGTAACGTTAGTAGATTCAGTCCAATGGTAGACGGTGACCAACAGTTGATTCATACACCATTTATTCCTTCATGATCCTATAGGCTATGTGCACCATTGATTTGGAATGAGCGTTTTCCAACTCCCTACGTGGATCCTCCGTGTACACTAAGCCAGTTAAAGTATCTGCTGGATATTCACTTTTAGTCCTCTCAGTTTCGTAAACAACACCTACTTTGAGAAAAGGCCGTGAGTAGCACTTCCCCGGCAATGGCTGTATACACAAGGCCATGTGAGAATATTTGGAGAGGGCGAGCTGACTCTACCCACTATCGGCTGTACCAGGGGATTTGTTATGTGATAATTACAGAAGAAACTTGATATTAAATGAAATGCAAGTGTTAAAATTAAAGTAGGATAGCTCTGCATATATATGATAATAAAAGGTGACAAAATAGAAATGACAATAATCAATTAGAAGAGATCAAAATGGGAATAGAAATTACAGAGACCTCATATCGAGTTTACTCTCTAAGGAAAGAAACTAACATCGAACAACCCCATAGGTCCTTCTATGAAAAATACAGGAAATTTAGATAATACTCTAAACTTGTCTAATTTGCTCATTTAGCGATAGTCTGATTTCTGATATCTGAAATTTTTCAACTTACTTAGTTATTTGTTTCATCCCTTAAGATTGTCTCTATGGTATAGAAATATATTTTAACAAGTGTATATGATAGTAGATTGAAGGCTCGGATCGACATACTTACAAATGAAGAGCATCTGGAACTCGAAACAACAGTCTGTCAGCGAACACCAAGATCAGAAGTTTCAATAGAAATGTCAAGATAGTTCTACTGTATGAGGGTGGAAACATAGAGAACTATGAAAAAAATCATCTAGAAGATATAAGTGTTTATTAACAGGTTTCTACACAAAATACTTCGGATACGTTAGTCAGAAACTATGAACAATAACCTACCATGGGAGAGAACAAACCAGATTCCAGCGGAGGAGGAAATCAGGAAGAAGCGCTGAAAGTGGATAGGATACATATTGAGAAAAGTACTGCATCATAAGACAAGCACTCACTTCGAATCCTTGAGTCCAAAGGAGGAGAAGAAGACCAAAAAACACATTACTCCGAGAAATGGAGACAGACATGAAAAGAATCAACAATAATTGGATAGAATTAGAAAGGAATACCGATGACAGAGTGGATTGTGGAATGCTTGTTGGCGAACTATGCTCCATTGGGAGTAACAGACGTTAGTAAGTAAGTAAGTAAGTAAGTAAGTAAGTAAGCTATGATACTAGATAACTTTCACATTCATCAGTCCATCTGAACTATACCATCATTGAAAACCTTGAAGCACTGGACAATCATTATCTTCTAATATGTTATTCCTCAACATTGCTCATCTACGATCTTATATATGAATCAATCGTTTAAAGATTAAATGTTTACACACGTAATCAAAGATCAATGAATATTGATTGTTTAATTGTAAAAAAATATTCTCTTTATTTTTTTTTTTATAGAATTTTTGGTTTTGTTGCTAGAAAACAAAATACAAAAGAAAATATGTGTCATGTATTATGTGATACACCAGAATGTAATGCAAATATCATTACAGATTATATTATGCATCGATTAAATGAATATTAAAAAATAAAAATAAAAAACTTTTATTGATTATTAGTATTATATAATCTAATCATTGTTTCCAACTTGACTACTAATGTACATACATACATATATATATGGATACCATTTACATATTTATTATCCCTTAATGTATGAGCGCCCAGAACAGGGTTGGATCAAGGGTGTTGTTGGGCGGCCTATGCTCCTCCACGAGAAGGAGTAACAGGCGTAAGTAAATAAGTAATGTATGGGCATCTTCAAAAGAAAAACCGAAAAAAAACATGTATACATCATCATCATCATCATCATCATCATCATCATCATCATCCTCATCATTATATTACCATTATCAATGAAGACTTTTCTCTTTATTTTCAACAAAAAAGGCATTCCTATTAGTAACCAAAACAAAAACAAGACAGAACAAAACTGTATCCATCATCATAAAAAATTTTTTTCTATTGTAGATCATTTGTAAATTATTCTCTCTTTGTTTATCTCTTTCGTTTTTCTCTTTTGTCTTTTTCTTTTTATTTCTTTTTTATTTCTTTCTAAAGAGTACAAATGAATAATTGTTTTCAATAATTCATTCTTGTTTATACGTGTCATTGTTTCCTTTCGTCGTCGTCGTCGTTGTTGTTGTTGTTGTTGTTGTCATTATTGTTGTTGTGGTTGTTAAGTCTTCCATTTGATAATTTCTTCTTTTTTTTTTTTTTACAAAAAAATTATGTTTATTAAATGATTAACGGCACGCACTCACACACACACACACACCAAAAAAAGACAACAATAAAATCCAGATCATACACATATATATATGTATATGTATGAAATAGATCTACATGATAGTAGAAAGAAACAGAGATAAACTAGACCTCACCACATACCACTACTACTACTTCATTAATAAAATTATCATTATTATTATTATTATTGATTATTAATTATTCATATATGATCAGTTCATATACATTTGCATTTATTATTGATTGATTGATTGATGGATAGATAGATAGATGGATGGATAGATGGATTAGTTACTATGTGATAAGCCAATATTTATAATTCTGTTGATGACTCATTTTTTATATTTTCTGTATGTCAATAGGTTCTTTATTATTATTATTATTATTATTATTATTATTATTATTATTATTATTATTATTATTATTATCCAATCAGAATAAAGATTTACATATATACCTATGTGAGCACGCGTGTGTGTGTATGTATATGTAAAACTTAAAATGTATTTATGTGTTTTACGTGTGCATGTGCCACTGAGCATATACATATATATATCCAATCAGAATAAAGAAATACACATGTCTGTATATATATGTATATAACTACATGTATGTATGTGTAACTGAGTATATATATATATATATATATATATATATATATATATATATATATATCTATATATATACATTCAGTAATAATATGATACCATTGTATTATATAAAGTAAAATACCACAGTGATATAGTTTGGCCTTTTGTTTTGTTTTCTTTTTCAATTCAATGAATGAATTGTACCAATTTCTAACTGTGATATCATTCATTAGTTTACAGTCCTTTTAAAAGTAATCTCTTCTCTCTCTCCCTCCCTCTCCCTCCCTCTCTCACTCTCTTTATATATATATGTACTTCAATGTAAAATGTTAAAAGAAAAAAATTTTTTTCTTTTTTCATTTTGCTTGTTTGTTTATTCATTCATTTTCACAAATATCTACAATATAGATTTATTGAATGGAACTAAACTGAACTAAACTCAATGAAATGGATATTGATAGATATATTTATTCCAATATATCAATAATGATTCAATATATATATATATATATATATATATATATATATATATATGCATAGCAACTATCTGTACATGTTACATAATACACATTAATCATTAACTGAACAGAAATTATATAATTATTATTTTTCAATCAATAAATTGTAACTTTTATTACATTGAACACTCTTGATTATTATTATTACTATTATTATCCCTACTACTACTACTACTACTATTATTATTATTATTATTATTACTATTATTATTACTATTACTATTACTACTATTATTACTATTACTCATATGCAAATGCATATACATGTAATGGAACACGTTGAGTTATTTCTAAAATGTATTGCAGTATATACAGAGAGAGATAGATAGATAGATAGATACATAATGAATCAAAGATACCAAGTTGTATATCGATCTATCTATCTATCTAATCAATCCATCAATCTAATCGATAGTTCAATATGGATATGGATTACAATTTGTTGTCTTCTACTTTTATTATTTTATATCTTTTTTTTTTTTTCATTTCTTTATTAAATTGTAAAACTGAATTGATTTATAGCTTAGTTTATACGCACAATTGAATGGATTCTATCTAGCGCTTTTTCAAATTATATACTTGTATGTTCCAAAGTAACCAAATATATAAATATAAATATAAATATATATACATATACATAAATGAAACATGTTGACTTAGTTTTATGATAAGCATTGTTTTATTGGTGTGACGATGGACCACAGGTGAACTCGAGGAAGCTATAAGAGGTTCAGAAGGAGCCGATGATATTCCATCCAATCACCTTTAGGAAGAATATTCTAGAATCCTTACGTGTAGCTTCCCGATTGGACAAGGCTAATAACCCCCTGTATGCGGATTGGAGGACTATAATGATGATTTTTGTTCTTACTAAAACTATTGCGACTTGGAAGGGTTTTGGCGTTCTTGTGTTCAGTTATACGCATTATATCAAGTAATCAACCATTTCTAGATATAACAATTGGCCCGTTTATTTTGATGTCAATTAGATTGGATGATGTTGTTATCCATGGGATCATCATTTTACTGGGTCTGGGATCGGATTCTATGTAGATTGTATAAATGTCGTCTATTCTAGTATAGAATTTACTGACTGACCGACTTACGTCCGATTTAACGAACATATTCCTAAAGGTTTAAGATAAAACAGACTAAAAGCATTGAATAGCGCTATCGCAACACATCTCCTTGATACAGGACATGAAGTCGATACACTGAAGTCCTTCAAGCTGATTAACATACAATCAAATTCAAACCTTTTGAAATTTGCCGAAGCGATAGCAATCAAATATATAAAACCAGATCTATGTATACAATAAGAAACAGTAATAAATCTTTCTTTACCCTGGTAACAATAACCCCCTCTTTATTTATTACGTCATTCTAACTTTATCTGAATTTTATAATTACATTATTCATAACTAATTGATTTCAATTTACATCTTTTCTGATTATCATCAATATAGTCTTAGTCACTTCATTACATAATTATCTAATGAGTTTGCTTTTCAATTCCATGAGTTCTAATCACTATTTCAATGTTATGGAACCTTCCCTCCCAAACTCTATATATATTCGAACCAAACAATTTTTATGACCTCATTAACTCTAACGACATCTATTACTTACTTACTTACTTACTTACGCCTGTTACTCCCAATGGAGCATAGGCCGCCGACCAGCATTCTCCAACCCACTCTGTCCTGGGCCTTCTTTTCTAGTTCCATCCAATTCTTGTTCATTTTTCTCATATCTATCTCCATTTCCCGGCGTAATGTATTCTTTGGTCTTCCTCTCCTCCTTCGACCTTGAGGATTCCATATGAGGGCTTGTCACGTGACACAGTTGGGTGTTTTCCTCAATGTGTGTCCTATCCACTTCTAGCGCTTCTTCCTGATTTCTTCCTCCACTGGGATCTGATTTGTTCTCTCCCACAGTAGGTTGTTGCTAATAGTGTCCGGCCAGCGGATCTGAAGTATTTTGTGTAGACAACTGTTAATAAACACCTGTATCTTTTGGACGATGGATTTCGTAGTTTTCCAGGTTTCCGCCCCATACAGTAGAACTGTTTTGACATTTGTATTGAAAATTCTGACTTTGGTGTTGGTTGCCAATTGTTTTGAGTTCCAGATATTCCCCAGTTGTAAATATGCTGCTCTTGCTTTGCCAATCCGTGCCTTCACATCTGCATCAGATCCACCGTGTTCATCGATGATACTGCCCAAATATGTAAAGGTTTTTACATCTTCCAAAGCTTCTCCTTCAATTGTGATTGGATTGGTACATGCTGTGTTGTATCAAAAAATCTTGCTTTTCCCTTTGTGTATATTGAGACCTATTGCTGTTGAGGCTTCAGCTACACTGGTTGTCTTCTCCTGCATTTGTTGTTGCGTATGCGATAGAAGAGCCAGATCATCTGCGAAGTCTAGATCATCCAATTGCATAACGAAATCTATATTCATCCTTAATCATTCTCTTATGTATAAATATGCGAGTATCTGTAATAACGTTGAATTTCAAATATTTTTAGGTTTGTAAGCAGCTGATGAGAACCTAACCCAATAAAATGAATCTATTTTGTTATTCTGCATCAATCTTTGTTCTAGCTCTCTTTTAATTGTATTAGTGTATAATGGAATTAAATAAATCATATACGAGAATGGATGTTATGAATATGTATATTTTCTACACTGGTTGATCGGAACAGACATTCAGAGAGTTACAGTGAATGAAGTGAAGAAGAGAGAACGAAGTTGTTCTATTAAGAATGAGTATTTCAAGTAACATAGTCTGCAAGCAACTAAGTATTTTATCAGAGGGGGGTTTTGTGGAGATTTTAGTAATTTAATAGTTGAATTCATGAGTCAATTGAAGCTAGACCACCATGAAAGATCTTGAAGCACTGGACGGCCGTATTATTCTAGTATGGGATTCATCAGAAGTGAGTATCTACGATCTCGACCGCGGAATTCGAACCCAGGTTCAGTGGTCCGGAGGTGAATCATTCGCAAGTGAGAACAATAGGTCCTGGGTTCGAATCCCACATGCTCACTGTATTAACTGACTTATGAATTCAACTAAGCATTTGATATAATATATCAAAAACTAAATGATAAAGAGAGTTACGAGTGTTTTCACATGTATTGTGTCTACTAATCATATTAATATATTTTTCATCAAATGTGAAAACATCATTACCCGTATTCCAGACCAACACTAACATTGTCTCATAGTATTAGTGCTCTCTTCATCTAACTGGATAACACTGTCTTTTTTAAATGAAATCACATCTTGTATATTTCAATCATACTACTGTTAAGTTCGCTACTTGATTAACTCAGAATACAGTATATAACTACGCACTCAAACGTATAGAATCCAACAGTCGCAAATCAAAAGATAGAAGAAAGCTAGAGAAGTGTTTGTTGGGTAAGAATTAAAATGTACAGAAAATCATGGGTATTCACAGATATTAGCGTTTGTTATATTAACATTATAATTCAACCAATCAGCAAAGAAGTAGATTATCCTTCTGTCCAATAGTAGCATGTCACGTTGATATTACAGAAAATGTTATCACGTCCTGATTGCATAGAAACTCTTAGGCTCCTTTAGGGTCTTCGGAGGCTCCGTCGTAGTTTTCCGAAGCCGTCCCATCACATTCCCGGAATAAAACTTCTTCCATGGGACCACTTGCTGCCTGAAGACTGGGTTCGAACGGCGTTCTATTTTTTCAATGTCTTTCTGATTCTAACCTTCTTTTCAGTAACTTTGGGCGTATGTGTCGTTGATGTATCTGAAATTAACTCTAGTGGAAGATTCAGCTGATTATCTCGAGTGTGTATCATTGTTTTATCTTTAGGGATTTGGTTTGTGTGTCTGATACATGCTAAAAATTCTTCGAACTCTGTACAAAACTCTTCCGAATATTTTCCCGGTTCCCATCTATTCTTTCTGAAGTAGGATTTAACGAACACTTTGTCGCCAACATTAAAACTTTGGATATTAAAATTTAGTCTATTCCCATCCGCTATATTTGGTGGCAACATGGTATTGAAAATAGTTCGAATATGTCTTACAAACATAGCTTCAGTAGGGGACTTTCCATCTGAAACAGTTGTGTTCAGAGTAGTTCCATAAGCCATTAAAAATCTTTCAATTACCTGTCTAGTTTTCCCCTCATCTCCCACTCTCAGTAATGCTCGTTTAAAAGTGTCGACAAAACGTTCTGCTTGTCCATTCAACGTTGAAAGATGATCATGCAATATTTCGAACACATTAAAGTTACACATGTAAACTGTTGCATATCTGTTCACTAGATGTAGAGTGAATTGCTCATGAAGAGGCCTGAATGCTCTGGGTTTGACCTCCCATGGGATTATAGGCAGGTGGTGCTGAGGAGTTCCGTACTAATACTAAGGATCTGTCTAATCCTTTCTGGTTTTCAATTCTGGCGAGATTATAATTTATGGATGACCTTTGAATGAATCTTCAGTAACCTTGAGAAATACTAGCCAATCAGAAGACAGTTAGTATAAAGTAAAAATATATTATAAAAAACCAATTAATTAAAGTGGATACACTTGTTTTACATGGTTCCAAAACTTATCAAGGTTTGAAAGAGGTTCAGAGTTTCTGAAATCATAGTTCATAAGGTAGAGGAAGTCATCCATAGGGCTCCATAATAGTTGGCCTCTCAAGCAATGATAAGATCGTAATAAATCCTTCAACCTCGACCACATAGCTTCAATAAGGTTTGTGTGCACTCCGGTTGTAAGGTCCACAAAATGGCTCTTGTGGACAGCGACATGGTGCACATAACCAAGTGTACGCAGATATCTGTACACTTTCCAATCATCTGTATAGATTTTTGTGCCTGGCTGTACATACTCCTGTATAATTGGTATTATTGTCGTTGCCAGTTGGTTTCTGACCCTTTAGAAGTGTCCCTTTTGAGGTAACTTGTAGTAAAGTCCGAGGACCTGTGAAGTATATTTATGGAAGTGCTTCTTACCCAGTCTTCCTTAATACTACGTCCTCTGTTAAATTTTTGCTTCCTGACTATTGTTTCGTCTATTTCAACGGTTCTTCCAGCTCCCCCCAAACGACTCATATAAATTTGTCATTTTTATTGCACATATATCTCTACAATACTCATACCACTAAACAGCTGAAGCTTCAGTAACCTGTTACTGGTGCGTTTATTATCCAATTTGCGACAATTATGATGATTTATCTTAGTCTCAATCGGGATCGAGCGAAGAAAGTTCCACATCTAGCAGATTTCTTCCTCCAAAATAGATAACATCATCGCGGTAGTCTGCACACGGTACGGTCATTATTTGATTACCGTAGTCACAAATAAAGGAGCTTATTAGTGATCCCATCTGTTGTAGTCGCTCAATTATTACATCTCCAGAATCTGCTGTAAACCGAACGTACGTGAGTATGAGGTATTGAAATTGGCAACGTGACGTTGAAATCCCTCAGACGCTTCTGATTGACTTATCCATAAATTATAGTCTCGTCGAAAGTAATCTCCAATTTCATTGCAACAACTTATAAGAAACTATAATTAGTATTTGAACACAATTGATTGATCACTGGGCAGTGATCAATATCATGCGTGTCTAGTCCTTATTAATGCAGATCGGATGCTATCAAACATGTTGCAATGTGGCCATCAGTCTAAGTGACTCGACACTGCGGGCACTATAGTGAGATTAGTTGGTGGTTGGAGGTAGTCGACAGGGAACCCTGGACCCGGGTTTCATGCTATTTGTGATTACATCTCAATCCTACGGGAGGTCGGTCGCCGCCCAGATAGCTCAGTGATAACGTCTCTGGCTGTGAATCTGGGTGGCACGGTATCGAATCTGTCAGGGAGCACCAGTTCTCTTAAGATTATAGGTACACCTTGCTGACGAGTGCCAAGTAGCACGAAACCCAGGTCCAGGGTTTGTTGTCGACTATCTTCAACCACCATTTAATCTTAGTATTTGAACGCTTTGACCATTAAGATATTCGGGTTGAGTCATATAAATTTGAATCTTTAAGAAATTATAGGCTTTTGTAAAGTTGAACAAAAGGTTGAATGCTATATGGTCGGAAATAATTGACTGGAAACCTTTGACACGGAATTTAAATAAACGTTTCAATCTAGGGCATTACTATTGAGCTACTGTAAATGAGATTGATTTTCTTTGAAATTGATTGATCATTGAGTAATAACCGAAATCAACAAAACTTGACCAACACTTTAGAATTAAGTGAATGTGACACCATTCACTAATCATTGTATAAGCCTAAATCGTCAATACGGTCAAGTATGGAACAGAAGGTCACTACTAATTACATTTTTCTCTTAAATGAAGAATAGTCGATTGTTGACGTACTGATTCTATAAAATTCATGTATTGTTTATTTATCTAAATATTGGTACAAAGAGGTATTAAAGAATATATGAACCGCATAAGTTATCATTAAATTTGGGGCCCTAAATGCCCTGCTACGGCAGATATTCAGCTCTCCCTCTCCAATTGCTATCACATGGTTACGTACATGCAACCACTGCCAGGGAAGTCCTACTCACTGTGTTCCTGTGGTGGGGATGTTATATGCGAAATTGAGAGGACGAAAAGCGAATGTCTAGTGCTTTAACCGGTTTGGTGGACACGGAGGATCCACGTAGGGTAGTTGGAAAATCCTCATTCCAAACCAGTGGTGTACATGAGCCCTAAGATCCTGAAGGAACATACGGTGTATCAACCAATTGTTGGTCACAGGCTACCATGGGACTGCATCTGCTGACGTTGCTCCACTTCTTTGTAGATTAGGTCTTTAGGTCAAAGGCTCAAGTGGTGGCCTCCTAAGGAAACCACCTGTTTCGGTCTGAGCATCCAGGTTGCATTATAGCCCACACGCAAATAAAGTGTCTTGTGTGACGCATGTGTATTTGGTGCTCCTTTGTATTTATGTGTTTAAATAAATAAAATTTGTGTACGGGCTGAAATATTCTCCGGGGGTCCAAATCGAAGCAGGTAGATCTCTTAAGCAATCATTCCCCCAACCTTTGGCTCAGAGGTCATATCCATAAGGCCGTGAAGCATTGTCAAGAGATACAGTTCTATGGTAGCTAATGACCTATATTGACTGGAATCAGGGTTTCCAGACTTGTCTAGTTAAGTCCTCCATGTCCCACAACCCGATTTAAACTCCAACCGGCTATTCTTCTTCAGTCCTTTAAATTTGGTAAATAACACCCCAAGTAAGAGGTGAATATGAATTACAATATACGCGTAGGTATATGAGAGCATTCAAAGAAGAGGGGAGTAAAACTCTCTTCATCCTCAACTATACCATGATATTTAGGAACAATGAAAGAACTGAGAAAAATACTAATTAAGTTGAAAATGTATATATATATATATATATATATATATATATATATATATATATATATATATATATGTATATATATTTATTTGCATATTATGTGTACTTGCCATCAAAATTACCCCGTAAACTCAAGGTTCTAAACATAAGGAAATCTAGGAATAAGAGTAGGGTGGTTATTCAAAGAAAGAAAAACTCATCACATCATAATTAAATGTTACCATCATTATGATTATTGACATAAGTAAAATGAATGAAAAGAATATAGGACAGTTGATCTCAGCTATTTGATCCAATAAAACATTCACATACATATGAATATAATCAATATATTGGGGGGGGGGTGTGAGAATGAATCAGAGAAATGGTAACCAAGTATTCCTCAAAGACTAATTGATCATTAGTATTGGTTTATGGGGGGGGATATTGTTAAGATAACATTAATAAGATACAAATTATCATTGGATATTATATAAGCAGAATATATTTCATTAATTAAGGTGCCACTTTTTGGGAAAGGATCGAAAAAAAGGTACTTAGTAACAGTTTATAGAATATAAAGAGAAAAGAAAGACACACACACACCCAGAGAGAGACAGGATAGAAATCATGTGATAATTAGTTTCCAGTAAGTTCTGCAAAAGTTGAATCCAATTCTTCACTGAGTGCTTTGTATTTCTCTTTCTCAGTGACCAATTCATCTATGAGAGTGAGAAAAAAAGAATGAAGTGTACATTATGTTATTACAAACATTTGAGTATTCAAGTTCATCATAAACAATGAGTGATTGTATTCTATACAATTGTCAGTCTGGCAGTCAGCTACAATGTAGGACCAGGTCAGTCAGCTGCAACGTCAGTCAGTCAGACCAGGCACATATATGCATCGGTCCAAGTTGCCATACCGTATTAGCACAACAAGATGAACACCGGATTCATAGGAGCAGTTAATTCAATAGTGATAATATATAAAAGAAAAATTGTGTATAAGAGCATAGTACAGGAATAAAGAATTAATTCATAGAAAGAAAGATATGAAACGATTTAAACCTCATCGATTAAAGAAAGACAAAGAGTGTAAACACTTAGGCCATTGTGATTGATTCTGAGCCATGTCACCTACAGTCTCCAACCATTGGTTACGATAGTCACGCGGACCCCAACCAGGCAGTCTGCATCTTCCAACATCGCTCAGACCAAAAGTTAATGACTTCAAGTACTGATGCCACGTTTTAGTTTGGCCGCCCCTAACTTTCTTCCAACCATTCCAAACACTAGTCAGCATTGCGCGTTGTGGTAATCGGTGTTGTAATCGATCTCTAACTACTGATTGTTGTTAATGTGAAGTTCTAAACCAGGTCGTATGCACTTAACTACAAGGGTCACCCTGGACAGTTGGTTACTTACATGAATTGTTGTTTTGGTTAAGCTATCTTTCAATTCACTTTTACACCAGTCAACATTAAGCGTAGATGGTGGCTGGATATGTGCAATGTAAGATTTACATTCTTATTAATCAACACCTGATATTCTGAATCCATTCTTAAAATCATTAACTTGCTGATCTCAAAATTACATGACTTATGTTGTTAAATATTGGTATTAAACGAATGGCCTCCTACTATCAAACGTTATGTCTCGTAATCAAAAAGTAAGACTAAGTTTAGTGTTGCACAGTATACTCTCCCCTCTTTTACCAGATGAACATCTCACCTACACTACAAGTGACATAAAGTTTGGCAAAAAAAAGAAATCAAGTTCCTAAACTCAAGCCAAGGTTTCATCAAATCATCAATCCACCATGATTGATGAAAGTTACAAGATCAGTCAAGTGGTCAAAGCTTTCTCTATCAATAATTTTCAATTAGAACAGCCGGTAACAGGAAATCTACCTTAGTTATAGACTTTGTCGTAATGCTTACAATAATTATTCGGAAAAATAAGTCGATGCTGGGTTGATGACTATTCTGTCAGCTTCAGATTTCTCTGTATCGACTGCTCATAATTTGTGTTAATAAAACTACTATTTGATTTATAACTTGATTGTCAACCGGATATTATGTAACACTATGTATCATATGACCTAGTGTAAGGGTTTAGTTGTCAAGTGTGTTTGGATCGAATGTCCCCAAATGCTCTGGGGCGGCCGAGGGTGAAGACAGTCAGCTCCCCCTCTCCAAATGTTCTCACATGGCCACGCGTATACATCCGCTCCAAGGGAAGTCCTTCTCATTACCTTCTCGCGAAGTAGGTGTTGTTTACGAAATGGACAGGACAAAAAGCGAATATCCGGCAGGTACTTTAACCGGGTTGATAGACACAGAGTCCACTTAGAGAAGTTGGAAATCCCTCGTCCCAAATCAATGATGTACATGGAATCCAGAAGGAACATATGACGTATGAACCATTTATTGATCACCCGCTACATTGGGACTGCATCTCCTTACGATGCTCCACTGCCTTGTAGATCAGATCGTTAGGTCGAAGGCTCCGGGTGTGAACCCCTAAGAAAACCACCTGCTTCGGTCTGGGCACCCGGGCAGTATCACAGCCCTCACAAAAATCAAATGAGATTTGTGTGGCGCATATATATTTGGTCCCCTCTTGTACCAATATTTATGTGTTCAAATAAATAAATAACACTATTTTACTCAATACAATCAATGATAATGAACCATCTTTAAAGAATCTCATATTTAATAGGAAAATGGACAAGTCTTTATCCCTTAGCTACACTTAAGAACTAAGATACCTATTATTGTCAATAACATAATTAAATATAAATACATCATGCTCAGTCTAACGAATGATATCTACCTAAACTAGGCTTAACTTTAATGTTGATGGTTGGTTATCCGTAGTTTAAATTTCACGTTTTAACACTTAATCAAACGGATGTTATAAAGTTCAAACCCGTCACCATAGAGCTAACTGGGGAGATGACTGATTAACTACCATTACATTGAATTCGTGATATTTATTAGTACAAAGGGACACATGATACATATGCACTGCACAAGTCACTTGATTTGTGTGTGGGCTATGATACTGACCGAGTGCCCAGACCAAACCAGGTGGTTTCCTTAGGTAACCACTACCCGAGCCTTCAACTTAAAAGTATGATCCACAAAGAAGTGAAGCAACGTCAGTAGATGCAGTCCCATGGTAGACGGTGACCAATAATTGGTTCCTACACCATTTGTTCCTTCATGATCCTGTAGGCCATGTGCACTATTGATTTGGAATGAGGGTTCTCCAACTCCCCATATAGGTATCCTCCGTGTCCACCAAACCGGTTAAAGCACTAGACATTTGCTTTTCGTCTTCTCAATTCCGTAAACAACATCTACTTCTCGAGAAGGCAGTGAGTAGGACTTCCCGGACAATGGCTGTATAGGCGTGGCCATGTTAGAGCTAACTATTCCCACCTTCGTCCGTATCATGGCATTTGTACAAGATATATACATATATAGTCTAGCATAGTTTCCTTTCAATGTTACATGCATAGAAACAGTAAATAAAGTATAGTTGAAACACTTAACAATCTAACTAAAACTGACTAAATTCTATATCGACTAATATAATACAGAAAAGTATTTACTCAAGTTACATAATAGTTAGTAATTGAATAGAACATAAGTTTGTGTACTTGATTACAAATTGTTTGCTAATATTAACAATTAATATTCAGATTACATAAGGCTAATAATGACACTATGCAAAAGCTTAAACACTTACATTCCCACACACACACACACAAACATACATCATGTAAATAAACAAGCATGGAAACAAATAAAAAACATAATGCACGTAATAAACAATGGAAATCATTTGGGTAAAACAGGCACTCATTGTATATGGGGATGGTAGACAAAAGTGAGAATAGAAGGGGAGTTAGCGTAGGAAACAAAATACTGATATTATGTAACCAAACAAACAAACAAACAGAAAAACCACGATCGTAGCCTATGAAAAAGTATAAATAGGCGCTGTTTACTTCAATTTCACTGTTTACCAAAAAACAAAAAGAGAATAGCATCACATCCTATAAGATCAAAATCTTCACCAATAATAAGACCATACACAACAACAACAACAACAAAAACACAAGGCGAAAACAAAGCACACATTTGATGTATTACTGATAAGAAATAATAGTAACAGCAGTAGAGTATTTCCATAAGGAAATTTTCAAGACACATTCTCAAAAGTGTAGTGCGAGGACGGGGGAAGAAGAGGCAGTGGTTGGAAAAAGAAAAGAAGCATTCAGTAGAATATAGAAATGAAGCATAAAACAAACCAAATGATACCATGCTGTATAGTTTCATAGCACTACCTAACTCATCTCATGCTTATGTATACATTTGTATAACTATATGATCTGTTTATATTATAACTGGGCATTATATCATGATGATTTCCTTTGAAAAGAATTGGAATAAGAAATATTTCTGTTCATAGTAAACTATTGATTAGATATTTTCTACTTCAGTAAACATTGTCTCCATTTCACGACGTAGATTAGTATGATTTAATTGTTCAGCTTCCAATGTTTCTACAAATGAATAAATGAATGAATGATTAAGTGAATATAAAGTATAATCAATTATTCAATTTTGTATTGTTTGCTTAAAATCTCAGTCAGTCAGCTACAACGTAGAACCAGGCACATATAAGCATCGGTCCAAGTTGCCATGCCGCATTAGCATAGCAAGATGAACACTGGATTCATAGACGTAGTTACTTCAATGGTGGTAATATATAGAAGAAAGATTGCGTATAAGCAGATAGTACAGGAAGAAAGAATTAGTTCATAGAAAGAACGATATAAAGCAATTTTAATCTCACAGTTTAAGGGAAGACAGAGAAAGTATACATCGACGCCATTGTGGTCGATTCTGAGTCACGTCACTAAGAGTCTCCAACCATTGGTTGCGATAGTTACGTGGATTGGAATTGATCAGTCTCTTATTGGCATATGTGCATCCTGTATGGATTGCCTCGACATTACCTTAGATCACAAGAACGGTAAGCAGAGATGAGTGATGGCTAGCAGTGGAATTCAAGATGTGCGTTTCATCCTATTTTGAGACTCGTCAGCTGGATATGTTTGCATCCCAGAGTTGATGTTCACCCGGAAACTCCAACCTAGTAGCGTTCTACTTCAAAACACCATCGTGTTATCTACTGAGTCAACTCTCGGATGCAGGTACATCCAGTTCATAAGTCCCAAAATAGCATGGAACGTGCATACTAGGTTCCACTGCTAGTTCCCATCCATCTTTGTTTATGATCAACTGTGTTTACAGTAAATTCTTCTTATTTGCGTGATAAATAGAAAGATAAAATGTACGTTTCATAAATTCGTACGTGAGTAACGTAGAAGGAGGGAGAGGAGGACAAATCAGACTACATTCTTTTTATTTGACAGGATTAGATTTGTTTCAAACTGAACAATATCAATCAAGCTAAATAGGAAGCTTAATGCTATTAAAATGATAACAGTGATATCATCATATGAAGTAACGGTTTAGATGGTTAACATAACTTTCAATCATTTGATGACAAGTTCAAGATTCCAGCTTAAGACTATTTTTAATTTAGTATAACATATCACTAGCCTTCTTCTCTAACACATGAAACAGTAGAGTTGTGAGTTGAGTATACACTGATAGCATTCGATCTGCACTAATAAGGACTTGACACACATGACATTGGTCAACACCCAGTGATTAATCACTTGTGATTACATCTCAGTCCTACAAGAGGTAAGTCGCGGTCCAGATAGCTCAGTGGTATCGTCTCTGACTGTGAAGCTGGACGAAACGGGATCGAATCTATCAGGGAGCATCAATCCCCTCAAGATTACAGGCACATTTTGCTGGCGAGTGCCAAGTAGCACGAAACCCGGGTTCAGGGTTTTCTATTGACTACCACTAACCACCATCTAATCTCACAATAGTGCACGCAGTGTCGAGTCACCTAGACCGGTGGCCATATTGCATCACGGTCGATAGTACTAATAAGGACTTGATACACATGAAATTGGTCACCACCACTCAGTGATCAATCAATTGTGGATACATTGAATTATAAATAATTCGAAAAACAAATATTTTCAGAATGCACACTCACCTTCTAATTTGCACAATTCTATTTGTTTCATCTCCTCTTGATGACTTGCTTCTTTAACACGTCGTTCAGCCTGGAATATAGTTCCAGTTTAATGTTTTGGAAGAAAGATTATATGCAAAATAAAATGAAAAATAGGGATGCATTCACTCATGCACAAAATAAGATAGAGATGCATATATATACATACATTATTTAGGGTAATATACTAGGGTATAAGGTAAATCCAAATCTCTAAACAACACGATGCAAAAGGAAAACCTATTTAGATGTTGAAATACAATATTTCGATGTAGGGGTATTTGTATGTGTATGCGTATGAGTATTTTACCTTCAAGACGATCGGCATCAGCTTGTAAAGTATTGACAAGTCGTTCAGATTCTTGAGCTCGATCCTCAGCCTAATAACAACAATAATAATTATAAATAAAATTATACGATGTGAAATACGCCTTCCTTTTCATAGAGATCAGATCATCCATTGAAGTGTCTTCTATGCATGCTTCAATCAAAAAGACTTGGTTACTCTACCAACAATGCAGTAGCTAATAAAGAGTTTTTCAAAAGTTAAGAATCAACTGAACGAGAAATAAAGCACCAATACTATTCATACCATAAACAATCCCTTAGAATACGCAGATGATATAGTTCTGTTTGGTGAAAATGCTGATAAAATGCAGTCTTCTAACCACCTTAAGCAACAATGTAAGGATATTTGAGATGCGGTTCTCTTCCACCAGATGTAAAATGTTACTTTAGGATCGACCTGAGTTAGCGCCAGAATTAATGATAACGAGTGAAGTAGTTGAAAACACTTGACTATCCCACTTGTCTTAGGAGTCTTACTAGTCCTGATAGTTTGGTGTTCGACGAAATCTCAGCACGGATTCAAGATCGATTGACTCTCGCCAACTTGTGGCGTAGGCGAGATATCCGTCTACCAACCAAAGGATAAGTTTACTGTGAAGCAGTTTACTTCGTTCTACTTAATTGATATGAAACATGGTCATTAAAAATAGAGGATATTCGTGGGTTACTAGCATTTAATCATAGGTGTCTTCAAAAGACTTCTCATGTATTTTTGGATCACGGAGTAAACAATGCCTGGATTAGGGAAAGGGTACTAAGTAAGGGTGGCAAGTCGATTAATGAGGTAGTAAATCTCCATTAACTGAGATGGTTGGAACATATTTTATGTATGTTCAACCACCTCCTACCTCGATGAGTGATATAGGAGTAGGCTGGAAGAAAGTTCAGTCAATCAGTCAGCTACAATGTAGGACCAGGCACATATATGCATCAGCCCAAGTTGCCACACCTCATCAACACAACAAGATGAACACCAAATTCATAGAAGTAGAAAGAAGAAAGCTAATAGTGACCAAACCAAATCATTTCACTACATATGGAACAGTCGAGATATTCAGGTATATTTCTATCAAATGGGTAGTTAACTTCACAATAGTCCACTGTGTATTATTTTACGGCTTTTAAACACTCGGTCATAATTACCCAGCGATCAAGAACAAATATACATTAGCCAAAGCTACTATACCATATGGTCTGACAGGTTCAAAATAAGCATAATTTGCTAATATTTGAAGATAGATGCCTTCGAAGAATCGTTGTATGATGGAACCACCAAATAAGCCATATTGGGATTAAGTGTAAGATCACACTAGTAAGAGATGGTGAATCGGTAGACTTCCACCTAATCAAATGACTGAGACATGTGTTTATACCCATTTACATACAACATACCCCAACATGCAACGCTAATAAACACATTAATAATTTGGAAAATAATGTTTTTTTCAAGAAGTGACTGAATCATGTGCTTAAATATTCAAATATTTTGGTTGGAGGTTTGTAAGATAACCACAGTTAACGATTAGATATCTTAAATGATCACCATGCATCAAGTTCATTTCCACTTGCTAATACACAATTATGCAAGATTCTACGACACTGTTAGCGGCTGGCTGGTTAATCAACAATGTTAAGCACAATTCAATAGTAACTAATAGTGAAAGTCAGAATACACATTTCGTCCTATTTAAGATTCATCAATTGGATGTACTTGCAGTTCGTAACAGCAACACTGGGAAAATTCAATCACTTTACAAATAAAATAAACCAAGAAAATAGAGAAAAAAAAAACTAAAAGTACCTCAATCAATTGTTTTGATAAAGAGGCAAGTTGAGATTGATGAAGACTACGTTGTTTATTTAACTAAATGGAATGTATCCCACCCACCAGCCCAAAAAATAGTATTTGAGAACATGCGAATTCAATATCCAATCCAAGAAAAATGTATAACATGCGTTTAACAAGAAAAACATGGGGAGAAACAGATATGATTATTTACATAATAACAATAATATTTCAAGTGTCAAGTTCCCCATGCAACGTTTTACATACAAAACACAAGTTGGGTATTAAAATAAAAAATGGGGGGTGTCTGAGCATGCTTAGCTTACAGCTTTTAAGCGCTCAGTTAAATCACGAATATTCTCTTCATATGCCTCTTCACGTTGGGCTGCCTAGAATAAATATGACCAGTCAAATGTAGGCAAATACAATGTTGGACTAAAATAAGGGAATAAAATGACGTGTAATATAACTGATGTCTCATTGATGTTAAGTGTCTACATTTAAGTATATCATTTTTAATATTAACCATTGATATCACATCATTTTCCACCCTTATTTCAGGCATCAAGACAGAGAATATCCAGTAAAGTGATAGTTGTTTGTGTTGAATAACACATTAAACCTATTGAGCTTTAATGTAGGCGTTCGAGCAACAACTACTCATCCCCCTGCACGTCGGATGTGTGATACCCGATGGAATAATAGCACCCAAGATTTGGTATGAATCTAATCACAGCATTTCAATGTTCATCTAAAACACATCGGAACACTTTACTTCTACCTGAAGTTTGTACTAATGACGTTGGTCAAAACAACAATGAAAGCTCTGCGATCAAACTATTCAGCTTAGAGAAAATACTACCGAAATCATTCACTTGAGCTACAAATCCTCTCCATATTGAAATATTTTGTAGGATGTGGCTGGGGGAAAAATGTATACCACAATGAGATGTAATCCGTACTAATTTTCCCCAGAAATTTTGAATGTTAACATTTTCATTTTTCAACGTACTTAATAACTTCGCATGGAGCCCCACTGGGGCTACTACCGGTCCCTAGCCCGGATAAAGGAGGAGGGTTGAGCATGGGGTTAGCGACCGCATCCCGTAGAAAACTAACTCGCTAAAAAACGCTAACCAGAAATTGATTCAAACGTACTTAATTGATAAAGAAAAAGGATTCATAATAATAATGTATAAGTAAACACACATATAGTTAATACTTAAAATTCTTCAGTTACAATACATCTAAAGCATGATGGTTCACTGTGGGCTGCCAGATATGTCGAATATGAACAGTTTAAAATAGATCTGATGTATGTGTGTGTGGTGAGCTATTTTAATAGACAGATATCTAGACTTGCAAATCTACATATTCTGATAATCAGAATAGGGTTGTAGAGATAGCCCCCAAATGCCCTGGTACGGCCGATGGTGAGAAGAGTCAGCTCTCCTCAAAACGTTCTCACATGCTCGAACGTATACAACCACTGCCAGTGAAGACCTACTTACTGCCTTCTCGCACTACGGGTGTTGATTACGGGATTGAGGGGACGAAAAGAGAATGTCCGGCGCTTTAATCGAGTTGGTGAACATGGAGAGTCCACCTAGGGGAGTTGGAAAACCCTCATTCCAAACCAACGGTACATATCGGCTCCAGTATCCTGAAGGAAAAAATGGAGTATGAACCTATTGTTGGTCACTGACTACCATGGGACTGCATCTCCTTACGATGCTCCACTGCCTTGTAGATCAGATCGTTAGGTCGAAGGCTCCGGGTGTGAACCCCTAAGAAAACCACCTGCTTCGGTCTGGGCACCCGGGCAGTATCACAGCCCTCACAAAAATCAAATGAGATTTGTGTGGCGCATATGTATTTGGTGCCCCCTTGGACCAATATCTATATGTTCAAGTAATGATTAATAATAATAATAATAGACAATCGTTGTAAAGCTGAAAGCACTGGACAGTTGTTTCACCGTTTCATATGAACCCCCTCGCTAGTGGGTTATCCACAACCCCGCGACCATGACTCAGGCCTACAACCTTCAATCTCGTGAGTGAATGCACAAAACTGGTTTATCAATGGCTAAGAAAATTGAATGATGGTAAAGAATGATTTCGTCAGTTGTATTTTTTGTTCTCTGAAAGCTATCTATCTTTTTTTTGTAGTTTGATAGTATATAAAAGTTGTACATTAGAATGAAATCGCGAAAGCGATACTTTACCACCAACCACCACCTAACATGGTGCAAGTAATGTCAATTCACTTAGAATAGTGATCATATTGCAACTTTGATCAGTAATAAAAAGACTACTACACAAATAAGATATTGGTCACTATACACTGGTTGATCAATCAGTTGCATATATTATATGCAAATATATATATATATAAACATAGAATCTATAAAATAATAGAAATACCTCTTGTTCAGATATCTCCAAAGATTTTACATTATTACCAACAATGCGTAACTCTTCTTCGAGTTCTGTAATTTTACTATAAACAGATGATAATAAATTAACTTAGAAACACTATGCAGTGTTTTTTTTTTCTTTTCATTTTGTAGACACAACGAACTGGTATCAAGGCATTGACAGGGAGAGCAGGAAATAAACAAGGCAGTAAGTGATAAATCATGCAATTCTGACAGTAGAAATTAGATGGAAAGAGAAGACTACATGATAATATTCACAAATTGAATCATGCGACAAACCTTTATAATCATGCATAAGTTACAACAATATGAATTGTTGTTATTATCATGATCTCTGCGCTAGTTACTGTTGTTATCTAATCATTTCAGTTTACTATCCATTCAATTCTTCAATATAGTCACTATAAGTACCTTAGCATTATTACTATTGAGAAGATTGAAGAAATGTAACCTGTATTAGTCAATATTACATATGTTTTATATATAAATAATGCTTATTTTACAAACCTGAGATTCTTGATGCTCTAAAGATTTTAACTGACCCATTGTACCATGAATAATGGATTGAAGCTCCTTTAAACGACTATAATTAGAAATGCATGCAAAATGATGCAATGAAATGATTTGAGAACACCATAGTATATCATATTAAAATCATGCATGAATAAGAATTGAAAATTCATTATGGAAAAGAGAAATCAAAGGAAGAATAATAGATTAGAGTATAATCACTATGGTTAATCTTAAATAGTTAAAGTAAACCTATAGTATATTTGAGAACACTTTCTAGATATAATTTAAGAGATAAAGAGAGTTGTTCAAAATTTAAAAGTTCCTGTCTGTAATCCAATACTTTAGTCAACGATTAATTATTGTTGTTTTGTAGCTGAATGAATGTATAATTTTTATGAACAACTTTACTCTATCAAATATTCCCTAAAATAAGGAGCGGTAACTTAATGCTCAACTTTCAGTTACCAAGTGTTTCGAGTTTAAGATCTACCCTATCTACACCGATGGCTGGTATTAAAGTATGTAGTGGATGAGTTGATGGTATATTACATTAGACTACTATAATGACGGCTATATAATAGGGAGTAGGGTGGGGAGTATATGCTATATGAAATAAAATCAATTCATGCAATAAGTAATGCAGTAAACTGAACAAAATAACAAAATGCGATTACAATATTGACTGTTGTAATATACATTCAATGAACTAATTAGATAGTTAAAAGCTTGTGCAACTGTCATATCACATAAACCAACTGACTAATAGTAAGTGACCAATAAGAAACTAATTACTTCCATTTTTTAAAAATCTATTTCACAAAATTATTATTCATACGATGAGAATTGAAGTTTTCAAAGAAACAACATGCATAACCAACATATCTACCAGATCTTTCCATAACATGAAAAACACTCATGATAATGGTAAAACTATTTAGTAATTGAAGTGCAGTTTCGTTTAATGTTGTTCTTGAGGATAAATGGCTAGATTTTTTTTAGTGGGAAAAAAAGATCCCACAGTTAACATCACATACAATCGAACTAGACTACAGATATGGTGCAATACCGGATGTAAATCACCAGTTTCACCAATAAATCTAAGAAGTACCTTTCTGCAGCTTCAATCCGATCTTCAGCGTGAGATAGTGCGACTTCGGCAACGGCAAGTTTTCGAGTGGCCTGCGAATGACAGCCGAACATATAGGTCAAGCAAACGAATTAACACAGCAATAGATAGGAGAGATGCACGACAATCAGCGAAAAACAAATCCAAGCCATGTAAATTTAAAAGCACGAAAATAATGTTCAATTTTGCACTTGTACATGCCTTGAATCAATTATAATAAAATGTATACAACACCAAAAACAATCAAAATTGAGAGAGAAAATTACAAAACAAGTGTGCATCAAGTGGAAATTAGCATGCTACACATACACACATAAAGAACATACGGTCAACATTGGTGCATAATCAAATGTAATAGTAGTATTAATAGTAGCAGTAGGAAGGAATTACTACCTTTCGGCAGCTTCCAATCGAGACTCAGCCCGTTCGAGTTCCACTTCCGTGATAGCCAGCTTACGAGCCGCCTACATATACAACAAGTTAGGTTTATGCATTTTAATCATTTTAATCATATATAATATTAAGTTACCACAATACGATAAGATGACGTGATATATAAGTAATAATTAAAGGTTTTTTAGGACTAAAAATAAAACAAAAGGGATTGACGATTTCATACGTTAACGACTGTAAAACCACATGGTGCGACATTTCAATCTTGGCCTGAAAATCTGGCAGCAGTTGGGTTACAGACACTGACTCATAGTATGTATACACACTAGATATACGTAGCCAACTATATGTATTAAATGTTAACTGATTGAACAACACGTTTTCATCATAATGTACTTCGACAATCCACTGATGAAGCTGACAATCGATTGAAAATGGAATGATATCAGACAAGCTAAACGTTATCGAATATTGAAATATGTATTTTCACTAGAAGGAGGGGGAAGTGTAGAGCCAGCAAACCGCATAATCATCAATTGTACAACCTCATGATACAATTTATACAATTGTAAAAATGAGATAAACAATGCATTTAGCGAATAACGGCTACTTAAAGCAGTATGTAAAATATAGCATGCAGTTGTTATACATCAAATGAACCTGATGAAGTGGATTCACAAATTCTACTATCAAAATAGCAAGACTATAATTTATAGACGAACCAATTGGATTTAAGACAATAACTCTTGGATTTGGTTGCGGAATTTATTTATCCATATGGCCAAATAGCATTTCGGCGTTATAGTTTATGTCAGTTCATCATGAAAAACTCCTAATCCTAGTTCCTCACACCAATATATAACCCTATTTTGAACCAATGAAGTGATTGAAATCTTCTTAGGTCAATTTAGTATAGGTCAAAGATTGTCCATAAACCATAGTCTTTCCATATTGACTACTATAGTTGTCTTCGTAAATGCTTGAAAAAAATTTCTAAATGTACCATGTTTTAAGTTCCATCTAAACTTATTTGAATAACAAAGCATGCAAAATTGGTAGAAATAAGAAACAATCACTATCTAAACTATTCTAACAGTTTTTGTAAACACACAGATACAATACTGCATGCACTGAAACTCATTCTCATACGACATTGAATGCATTAGTTTTAGTTAGAAATGCACCTCATCGTATTTTCGATCAGCATCTTCAGCCATAAATGTAGATTCTTTTAATTGTTCTTCTAACTGATTGATACGTTCTTCATCTGCGAAAGTACGATTCTCCAATACTTTACGACCACTATGAAACATATATAAAGGAATTAAATGTTTTCATAATACTTTGTTATTAATACAAAGTTTGTGAAAGTTTCCTCTGAATTGGTTTTAGAAAGAATATAACCAAACAGTCAAGATGTATTAATGTTTATTAAAAAAAATATTTTTTAATGTAATGCAATACCTCCTCGTATTTTGTTTCTGCATCTCTCACAGATTTTGCAGTTTCTTGTACCACAGATTCCAAATGTAAAATCCGCTCGTCTTCCGCAGTCTGGCGGGCCTCAAGCACCCGACGAGCACTAAGATCATGAATATATAGTGTCAATGACAAAACATAATCAAACAAAATCGATCAAAATGGGAAGTTTGAAATGCATACGCAAATAATGTTGTCATCCATAAATCAATTCATTTGAATAAAGAGAAAATGTTGACTACTTTTAGACTGAGTGTAACGACGCTTGCTTAATAGTATGAATTTGATGTAGTTAAGTAAGACACTGATTCATTCCTTTGGTTGTCACACTAAACGAAAAGTGTAAAATCCAGATATTTCTAACAAATGACATTTAATGAGTGTTCGATTGGTTGAACACTCGAATCTGTGAGAAATCCCCAAGCTAAATACTGAATGAACTACTTTCAAGGCTCTCATATTCGAAACATCAGCACGATGTTTTGTGAAGGAAAGAAAAGGGACTCAAATAAATTCAGATTTTTATGCTTGTTATGTAACTAAATGTTATTCCTAAGCAAACTATAACTGTTAAGGTTGTCCACCTACATTATATCACCGAGTGAGATATCAGTCGACTGTGATCAAGGTAGAGCCTGAGACAAGCATACGTCATTCTAAGTTGGTATAGTGGCATGAGATGAAAGAAGTCGAAATAATTTAATAGTAATGAGAATCAGGAAGATCTAACGTTGCTATTTTCCGAAAAGACAGAGTGGAAAGGTATGTTTGAAGAGATATTGGAAATCAAGACCAAGACCAAGAAAAGGAATGAGTGCAACTGTGTTATTATGTTGATTATGAGCTATATCACTTAACGTCTATGACTAAGCAGGATTTCTGAACCTGTTTTGAAGTCAAACACTAGGGCTGATAAGACTTTCGAGGTGAATAGATTGATCAACGCATTTAACTTCGCTCTGCGATCGATCAAAGCGATAAAGTAGACCAGTTCTGAATCAGCATTCGCAATTTAGACAGAGAAACGCATCTTAAACTTGATGACATTATTAGATAAGAAATACGATGGCTATTTATAAACCCATGGGAATAGCACTAACGCGAGGCTTTACATTCATACCAACAGACTAACGAGGTATACTTGGATGAATAGTCAGTCTGCAACCTAAAATCACCAATATTATGTGAATAGGATCTCCATTGGAAATATATTCTTGAGTCAAATAAGCCCACCGGCTTCAATTTCTAAACGACAGGGAAAACAGGAATTTTTCAAATACTGTTTTAGTCTCCACAAAGTGAGCCATACTAACAGTGAGCCCTATTAGCAAGCAAAACCAGAAGAGCATACATGAAGATAGTTGATTGTATTACGACTTTATTAACATCTATGATCACGATATGTTTCAGTACTGGAAACCAAAGAATTTGACAAGAAAAATACGCTGGACGGTACCGATGCAGGTTTTAAGAACATCAAATTTATTAGACATCAGTAAACAGCAAGACCTTTTTGAGTGCTTAGTAACAAGTACAATTGTCCATCCAGATGCTTTCAGCTTTAACCTAAAAGTCAATATCAGTCTAAATTCGAGTAATGTACATTGAGAGAGTCTTCTAAACTAGTAGGTTGTCAGTGGTGCTTCAATCTAATTTCCATGTAGACATTATTTTGTGAAACCGGAGCCACTAACTCTTAGGTATACGGAGTTAAGAATAGTTTATCCAATTTTGCTAGTTTTATATTCAATAAACATTTTCCTGCTCTTAAGCCTGGTTTTGAATCCGTTATAGGCCTGTATTTTCGCATTGTGTAAGAATACCGAAAATGTGTTAAAATATGCTTTCGATTCTTAACGAAAACCAACTTGTGTAGGAAATTGCATTACCATACTAAAAATCTGGATTGCACTAAATACTGGGTCATGGAATGTGACAATCAGCAACAAGGCTCGAGAAACGCGTGAAGATATGTTTCCGAATTACGAGTAATTCTACAGTTCACCAAATGTTTTAGGGGAACAACAACCTATGGAACCATCGAACTGACCAGTTCAAAATAAGCATTTATAAATGGGAATGCAAGGGTAAATACAACGAACGACGTGATTATGATTGAAAGGTTATTTTTGAGTATTATAAACTAACCGATCACTTTCATCAGCAGCTTTACTCGCTTCTTCGAGCTTAACAGTAGCCTCTTGAAGACGAGTCTCGGTAGATTCCAATTCATCTTCAAGCTGTCGAATTCTCTTCTGTAGTGAGGCGACTTCAGCTTCGGCCTGAAATCAATAAACAAAACAAATAAAGAAGTTGTTCGACTCCAAGTAAATATAGTAGGTCTTAAAATCTATATACCTTGATTTTATTTTCTTCCTCCTTCCTTAAAATAGCTTGTTTAGTAGATAACTCTTGTTTAAGCTGGTCAATTTGAAGCTTCATTCCTTGCATCTTAGACTTTACAGCACCGATAACAGGACTGGACATTCTTAAGTTAAAATATTCCGAATATATCTTATGACCAAAATGTGCAACAAAAACTAAACACGGCGGTTAAAATATCGGTGTAAATAAAGTATCCTCACCTTTCGTAAGGAAACTTTGATAACATTTTGCAACTCAACACCAATGATTGCCATCTTTATGAGTGTTCCGGAATTAAGATAAACGGCTGATAAAGCTTCTTCCATAGCAGAGTTGTCATCGATCAACTTCGAGCTGCGTCTCCGTTTAATGTATTCGTCTTCACCGTCACTTTCGCTCCCATAATCGGAAAATAACGGCTCATCCGTCCCTTCGTATGGTAAATTCCTGCGCTCTGAATAGCTTTCTAAAGTCACCTGGTCTTCACCCTCAGGTTCTAACCTCGGTCCGAGTAATTCCACTGGATGAACTCCAGATTCTATTACATCCGACGATCGATTTTGGTAGCCGAATCTCCAGTCATAAGAAAGTAACTTTAAAAAACTTTTTGTTCTTTTTGGCTCCTCCTTTATTCTTGAATTGTCTTGATTCCTTCTTCTCACTCCTTTGTGTGTTAAGTGCTTAATCTTATGAACTTGATTCTTCACAATTAAGCCGTCCCAGGTTTGCTCATTAGACTCTCGAAATGTATCGTAAAATGAGATTCGTGGGGTGAATTTAGTGGATTCGATTGCATCCGAAACATTCTCTGAATGATTTTGATTGTTCTACATTGGAGATATGTGAGAAAGTGTTATGATCAGTCGTTTTGTCATTGTGATATCAAGGTACTATAGTACTGTAACAACCATATATTTCTGGAAAATAGTCTCAGTGTTGGAGGAAAAATATCCAAAATTATTTTACCTTAGCTTTCTGTAAACAAGTTAAGAAATCGTTTTCAAGTAATTCCAGAAGCATTTGACATTTACGTTACCCAGAAAAGAATCAAGCTTCGAGTGGTACACAATAATGTAATCAATCAAAGTGGAGTGGCAAAACGTGTGGTCATAGTGTGAGGCTCGCGTTATTGCTGGTTGTTGTCTATTGCGTCTCCCATTAAATGTAAGTGCATTTTGGGAACTTCTTGGGTTATCAGCTCTCCTCACTCACTATACACTCCATGCTCCCCTAATACACAAAGTTACTTGGGCTTAACGTTGTAGCCGTAAGTAACTACCCGAAATAAATAGTCATGTAAGTCCTTGGCATTGACGTCATTGATTTCGCTGAACACAACCTGGCTGAAGGCGCTAAGTCACTCATCCACACCAGATCACTTGTGGGTACGCCCATCCCTCGCAACTGTTGGCTAGCTTAGATGAAAGACTTCTCAACCTAACGACAACTGTACTCAAATATCTTCGAAGCCATTCATCCCTGACTTCTGATATGTCTGGTTTGATGCTCTTGAAGTATAAATGTGTTACGGACAAAGGCGTTATCAAACGTAGGATATCTGTGGCGTCTTTAACGTGGACCGCTACATACTACCTCAAATATCAGCAGTTTGCGACGTAGTTCTTGATTTATGATCTGATTAGTTCACTCAGCCGTTTGAAATATATGCGGATGATGCCATTATGACCATGTGTTACTATAGGTCTTAGTTATATCACTTATCGTTTTGCCCAAATATATTTAGTTATTGTAAATTAGCTTTATCACTTGTATGAACACTTTAATGACAAACAATCTAGCTTACATCCGGAAATACTGCAAAAGCGGCTCAGAAACGCATATCTTGCCTTACTTTATTTATTCTCGGGACAGATCGAAATGTCGGAATCCCTTAAGGGGCTCATTTTTTACCTTCAAAGTAAGTGACAAAAGCTCGTTCGAATTTACTTTTTGAAAACGAAGTTTTTTGTTTGGCATGAAAACAGTGTCAGAAATACCATTAGCTGTTCTCATCTATATAAATAGCTTCTCAACCCATTGTGCAGATCTAGGGATATCCATGTAAATCGCATGTTACCGTGACAACTATTAGAAGCGGCCACTCGATATTTTTCCAAATGAGTGCTGCAGAAGGCGAAAAATTATGGACCATTTCATATGTATTTTCGAATAGCAGAGATTTTACATTCTTAACCTTATAAGTATAGAGCTTTGGTAGTAAGCCATCTGACTAAGGCTGAAAAAAACTAAATCATCAAACATTTGTGGAATCTGAGTTATTACGACGACAGTGTGGAAGTAAGCACAAAAAGTTGTTTTTTTCCAGAAAAATACGTTTCAATTTTGTTGTCGAACATAGCGCTTGGTCAATATATGATGATAACAAACAGGTTTAGCAACAATATATGGGAATAAAACAGGTTTCCTGAATCAGAGATTGTCATAAACATCGAGGTGAACCCAAAGTCACGCATTTATTTAAAGTACGGGAGAAAGCACATACAAAGGAGCTCGTGTTGTTGCCTTAACGTACCTCAAGCCTTCAGTTCATACCCTGGCAAAAATATGGATAAAATCCCCTGTTTTATGTGAAACAGCAAGGTTTACATAATACCTTAGAAAAAACCCTCGTGACACAAAATGCTCATTCATAAGTGCTAATCTTGTTTTACAAGCATTATGTTATTACCACACAGTGAAATATTCTTCTGGTGTTAGAAAGCGACTGTTCATGAGTTATCTTTCGTTTTTTCCACGGGTTTCGACGCAGCAGAGAAAATTGTCCATAGACTAACCCCATTCCTTACTATGTGACCGGCAGAGTCGTGAAACCCTCGTCAAAGATAGCTTAGTGGACTTACGTAAAACAATGTAAGTGCCTGTGGTATTCTAAGAAAAAACCATTGTCTCCGATTTTAAATGGTATTTATCAGTGACGATGAAGATCATAACCGGTCTCTATATTGGCGTTAAAAATCTGTGAAGAACCACTGAACGCATGTAGGATTTACAGAAGCTCGAAATAGATAAATCGCTACTACATGTGTGAACAGAAAATGGCTATCTAAAAGCCAACCTATAGAAGTGTCAAGGAAAGGCCCCTTTGTATATTAAAATATTCAAGAACTGATTGACCAAAACGAGGCTATCCAATCTGGGATTCGCTACTTAAAGAACGTGATTGTATAAATCCTTCGATATGTCGATTCAAGACAGGGTTGTGAAATAATGTATGGAATTACAAACTGACTTCTTTACACGAAGTAGCTGTCGAATACATAGGGCAAGATGTCATACTATTATCATCCGTGTATCTCAAATTACCTATTTTCCCACTCCTCTACTTCACTTACACAGTTTCCGCTCACTTGCCTGTCTGTGTTTGCTTATTTTAGATCTCGTCTGCTTAACGCTACTCTACATATGGAGCGACGGTTGCTGCTTTCAAGTACTTTATGGTTCGTTTCTAATTAGGCAAGTTAACCTCAAACTAACTGCCAAATATATAAACGTTCTTATGGCGGATTGGCTGAGACAAGCTCAATGAGTGTTACTGATGGCCTAGAACCGTTAAATGAAATCAAGACTCAAGTCAGAAAAAATCAGTTGTTCTTTATGGCATCTTACGTTATCACAATTCTGAGGCATAACCTTTAGTTACTCCAGTCGTTATTTCTTTTGACAAACAATAAGGACCTAGTTACCTGATAACATACGCAGTGTGTTCGTGATAAAATGTTTGTAGACCAAAGCTGTGTTATTTTAGTTATGCAGGAGGATGAGTATAGACTTGTTGAATGTACACCGATAATAAGTGACAAAGATATATATATATATATATATATATATATATATATTAGAAATGGATGACTTTTCAGATTCATATCAGAAACATAAAAATGATATAGAAAAATGATCCGGAGATATTTAGACAGGAATTTTCCAAAAAAACGTCTAGCCTCATTGAACATTTGAAATTGCCTGTTACCTGTTTAGAACTCACACCGCTATTTATTGAATTAAAGTTTTATGGCATCACTCTCATCTTAGGAGTTACGAAACAGAATAGCTTCTATTTTCATCCTAGTTTGAGCGTTTAAAAATAAGCAAGTACTAACAGCAGAAGGTAAAAGTAAACTTGTTCAGTTGAATGATATAACTGAACGCTAGAAACTGAAAGTTTTTCTTTTGAATCATTCAAAAGTGCATTCAGTTGTTTTATTTCTATAACATGACGACTCTAAGTTAGCGACTGGCATGAAGCATCATGATGTTTATTTATTCAAGTATATATTAGTTATTCAAAAAGATACCTCGGTATAATAACTGGAAATGGTTGCTAAGAATCCAGATCATCTCTACTAAGACTTGTCTATTGTGAAGACATTAACTAGCAATAGTGAATGAAAAATTCTCGTGTTGCCCACTGACTCTAAAAAATCTGTTACTTTTAATCCTTTTGAACACTACATTATGCAGGCATGACATTGCGAATGTCACAGTTATTCAAAGAGTGCTATTCACTTTGAAATCGCTATCTGTAAGAACACCAAAAAATATCTGTTTAGGGCTACAAATAATCAATCAACCGACTATGAAGCGTAAAAATATTTTTGAGAGTCACTGTGCATGGATCAACTATATGAAAAAGAATGTTGAAGTGAAGACAATAAAGAGTTTCCTATGAAAAGTTTAAGAAACGAATATCTGTTAAGAGTTCGTATAGGCGACACTATGATTTTTGGACGAACCAACAAAATTAGGGATAGCGTATACTGGATTTTGGCGTGAAATTCACTCATCATTATGATTAAACAGCCTTTTTGTCAATTAAGTTGACCATGATAAATAGATGAACTTTCCAGAGGTCATTTCGGAGTAGCTAAAATGACATTCATAAATTACTGTTTTCCCCCCCCCCCTCAGTTAGCTAAAAGCGAATTATCTCTAAATTGTAAACAACCCTTGGAAACCTCTAAACCAAAAAGCAACCGTATTCACTCTACCAAGCAGCTTGAAGAGTGACTACCAATATTCTAATGGAAAATCGTGAATAATGGAGTTTGAACTTGTCGGAAGTGAAATAGCCATTTATAATGTATATTTCTTCTTACGAATCCTGACAGTAGTAATTGTTGTTATGATTGTAATCCTTCTGTTTGTAGGAGTAGGACTGGAATATGAAACTAGGACTTAGTCAAGTTGATGAAATATGAATAACTAATATAACAATAAAACCATTAGACTTTGATTAAAAACTATATATAAGCCATTTTATTTAAACAAACTCAAATAAATGGCGGCATTTTTAAATAGATGAATTGTTAATTTGGTAATAACAATAAAATAAAAACTCATAGTAACTTACCTCAGTTGCTCGTTTATCTGTTTCTTCTAATTTAGTATTAGTTTCAGCTAATTGAGTTTGTGCAGTTTCTTTGTCAGTGTCAACTTGTTGAATTTTTTTAATCACTTCTGCAGCTTCTTCATCTTTAGTTTGCATTTCTAATTCTTTTTCACGTAATTTTGCTTCTAACTGATCAGCCCTGTTATAAACATTATCAAAAAATGATAAAGATAGTTCGATTTTTAGGAAAACAACAAACAATAACTTTTT